ATTTTTGGCTTTGCTACTGACATGCCGATATGTTGCTGCCATGATGAACTGAGATAGTACCCTCAATCTATGTAGAATTTTATTTATTGTTAATGTACCAACTGGATGCAATACTGTATGTAGTGAAATACTGAGAATTTCGTTTCGTATCACAAGTACTGTTTTGGAATAAAGCAAATTATTATTATTATTCAATTTAATTATGTGTGCTGTTAAATTTTACCAATTAGTAGTTATGCGTTGTTTTTTGTTATTGTGGTATTTTTAGTCTGAATAAATTCAAGGTTACACTATGGTATGACAGCTTGATGTTGGCAAGACTGAGGAAAACGTGTGTTCGTGTAGACAGAGCGTTTGATCTCATGTTCCCCTCTCATTGTCTATTATTTGGTGTAGAATCAGTAGCCAAAATAATACTCTACTTCATTCCATATTGCCATCCCATCATCCACGTTGTTGTTGTTGTCATTCGAGAAAAGAATTCGTCTACTCAAACAATTTTGTTTTCGCAATTAATACATTCAAATGACACTGTGACAGTCTTGTGACTGCGTGAGACGTGTTTTATTAAAATATAAAGGCATAATAATATACGCCTGCTTTGTCTCATTTCACCGCCTCATTTATCCACTTTCTGTTGCTAACGTGTAAGGTGAATACAACTCCATCTGTCTGTAATATATTGACAATAAATCCTCATGGAAGTATGATATGTCTTATTTTAGAAGGTCTGTAAGGGAGAAATTCCTTTTCATCTCTGTTATGCCACTCTTTGTAAAGGTGAATTAAAATGATGAATTAGTTGTTTTTCCTAAATTTAAAATTAATTTTGGAAGGTAACATGCATCATTTGATCAGCGGATTCTTTTCATGAGACAAAAAGTAATAATTTACACACGTACAGTGTAAAACGTTTTTATGAATTCATTATAATATGTGAAAACATTGAAATAGTTACAATGAACAATTGTGTTTTCATTAAAATTATTTATTCATATTACCTATCAGGATTTTGATATTGCCATTTGGGACGTTGTCCATTACTGTTTGTAGTTGTCTGTTCTGAGACGTTTGTGGGCGCATAGCAATGAATGATTGTAATCTTCCTTCCTTTCTTTTGCGTTGAACCTGGCTGTCATTATCCTGGAGGAGATTGGTTCGCACTGCATGAGAGCTTTGGCTGCTATTGGTGACATCGTGATGGCCACTCCCTCGGTATGCTCGTGATTGTCCTCTGGGTGGTCGGTATAGATAACTGTCTCTCCAGTTGATGGTTGGTTTGCACCAGCCACATCCGTTTCATCTGCTTTCGCAAATTCCCAACAATTCTTTTCTATATCTTCTCATTTCTGCGGCTACCTGGGTAGCCTTTCCAGCTTCGTACATTGTACGAACATTCTTCATCCCTATTTTTGTATTCATCGTAAGAAGGCACATCGGCTGACTGGCTTCCAGAAGGTTTTCGCCAGCCTGCGCCATTCCACTTCCCCGATTCCAGCGAAAAATAAGGTTACTGTTTAAATTTTTAGAATTTTCAATATATTTATTCGTTGAAGTTTCTGTAACGATTTGGTTGTTTTACGGGGGTGGAGTTGCTAGCTCCACGCCCAAACCCTCCCTCTTTATCCGGGCTTGGGACCGGATAGAAAACGAACGACCTAGTGATCTAGGCGAGATTGATTGGACACTCGCTGAGGAGGCCGCTGGGTGACATTGCGCGCGCGTCAGGCCATTGCTCGAGTGGAACCAAGCCGAAAGGGAAGCGGTGAGTAGGACGTCAGTACAAGGGTGACATGGAGGAGATCGTGTGAAGAGGAGTTGAAACAGTGTTAACTAACATGGATGCAGGTGAAAAGCACATCAGAAGACAGAATCAAGTAGAGATGTGCAGTTGAAGCCCTAAGTTCCACTAGGAACCCAAGGGAACAATAATATAATAATAATAATAAAGTTATTCATCCTCAGACTCTACAGTTATAAATCCACTAATTTTTAGCATACAATAGCCAGCCAGTGAAAGGCAAAATAGAATCATCTCAAAAATATGTACTGTGGAACAAGTATAAGATAGGATAGGACAATGGTCAGTTACAGGTTAAATCACGGATTGATATCAGTCAGAGAAACAGAGAGTACTGGACAGCTGTTTTGTCAGCCTATTTTGAGACTAATCAGCAGTACACACCCATTAGGTTTCAACGCAGGATATTCCAATTACAAGGAGATTTCATTCAACCATTCAACCAGAGCCATGAATTCTAACTCCTACTAATTCGTGATTTCAGCGTGATCACCAACTAGTGCCTGCCATCGGGAGGACTTCATCCTCACTCCCGACTGAATGAACACCACTGGTTACAACTTCCTCCTAGAGCTCTAGACAACTTCATCATGTAGCCAGTCACTAGGAAGGATTGAAAGTCAGTGGGTGCACACTGCCTATCAGTTTCAGGGTAGGACGAAACAGCTGTTGTGATAGGAATTTAAAGTGTGAATGTTTATGGGGTACCATTTTATGGTAGTCCAAGGTAAACATTGCAGTCTTGAAATGCTTTTTCTGTATGCAAAGACCCGCTCACGTAGTATATATTGCTACCGCTTCAACTATATAAGGCATAGTCGAGTTCCTCTAGATAGATTACCGGAAACGCTGTATATAACCGAAAACACCTGATCTGGTTTTATTGTGTGTCCAGCACTTAGCAAGCGGGCTAAGACTGCGCTATTTACGCATTTGGTTGTCCCTTTGCTTTAGTTTTAATAACTTCATTAACATAGTCAATAAATAAATCCTTCAAGTTCTGGGGAAGTTCGTCAAGTGAATAAAATCTTTGAGCAACATTTCTGTCTAGTTCTGATATATACGTTTCTCGTGATTCAATTGGATGAGGAGCAGATCACCTCGTAAACAAGAAATCGACATTATTAGGCTAAAGACCACATACAAGAATGACCGAAACTAATCTTCCAATTGACTACAACCGGTACGGTTTCAACCTTTTCTCTAGATAAGACACAACTTGAAACTTTATCTCATGGTTTGAAATTCTGTGACAAGAGTAGTCAGGTTACAGACCCCTTGGAGACTGATATTCAAATTAAGCACTTATATGACGAATCAAAAGACTTAATTCCCTGGTAATTACCTAGCAAGATTTAAATATATCCAAATCGGCTCCTGCTACTAGTTTAAGAAAAGCAAACATCCTGTTAACAGTCTACTTACGAAGAAACACAGAGAAGCATAACGTGACCTCAAGTAGAAAGAAAATCTGATAATGACTAGACCTGATAAAGGATGTGGTACAATAGTTACGAATGAGAGTTATTAGATCATTACAAGTGGCCAAACAATATATAAATATATGTAGTATAGACGAATTCCAGTGACATAAGAAAGCAATGGCCGTTAGGAAAGTATAAGTGATAAGTTATCCTATCAAACAGGTAACCAACCAACCTAATAAATTATGCACAAAGTAGACAAACAGAATCGATATACACTGAGGAAACCGTTCAGTGACATCCATCACACACCATTTCGTCCGTCAGCTGCATTCCATACGAATGAGAAGCGATAGGTTGGTTGTCCAACTCAAGGTGACATGGAAGAAATCACGTGAAGAGGAAGCGAGCGATTCTGAACAGTAGTGGAGTCACATTTGAAAGATGATAGAGAGCAGAATACACTGGAAATGTTCTTTCGAGGTTCTATGGTTCACCAGGAAATCCATGAGCGACCAGTAACAATAGTAATAATATAGGCAAAAATGTTCACCATCCGAGATAACCCTTTAAATAATTTTATTTTCTTGTTTATTGAAACTCTTTAATTTTCTTTGAGGTATCAATTACTACTTCTCAAGTAGTGGCTGTGAGGGGATTTGACTGATTGGTTACAGGTTTACATCGTGAGATGACATCATTTAGAGCACCACTGGAAGACCTTCTATGGAGTACAAGCCCATCGTTTTGTTCTTTTTTGGGAGTACAAGACTGCCGTTTCGTCCTTCTTCGGGACTATTCAACAGTACACACCCACCACAGAGATTCGAATTCAGGCCCTTCCGGTTGCGACAACGTGAGCTCGTAGACTGTTCAGCCACTGTGACCCAATCCAATGGTCAGTGCATGATTTCCAACTTCTGCAAATTCACGATATAGCGCAAACACATATCAGACGAATTTCTCAATACAAATTACAACCTCCACTAAAAGAAAATGTCATTAAAAGGAGCTTTTCATGTTTTCATTTATATCGAAAAAACTGGAAGACATTTCAGTTTTAAAAACACAATTGTTTGCAACTGTCACTACTTAAATAGACGTATGATTGAACATATCTGTGAAGATTGTCCAAAATTTTATCATGAGATTCGATGGAACTAAGGCTTTTGAATATCTAAGAATTCACAGACTGCATGAATTCTGTGGTTACCAAAGTAACTGAACCCTTGTATATATATGACAGCCGTTGAGTATGACGAAGAAACTTGAAATGTTTCTGTCTACTTCCAAATTCCATGAACTAATCGCGTCAGTATGATCCATTGTGGCTTTGGAGAGATTTTCTGTTGCAATGTACAAACATTTGCAAAAACGTCTTACATAACCATTTTTGACTCAATTATTTATGTTTCGCCATATATTTAATTCTTAGACTCGCTGATCGCCGATACCACTTGACTTTCCATACAAAATTATACCACTGCTACCTGTTTCCTCTGGCCTGCTCTACATAAGCCAGAATACACAATGACTTGAGAAGTAAGGTGTATTTAACAGTAACCGTATAATTGGAAGCATATTACTTCCCGTTATGTTTACCTCTGTAGTCTTTTCACAGCCTGTTAGTAGAAAAGATCAAACATGCAAGGAAACATATAATAACATAACATCTGTCTACAAACATATTTGCAATCAAATGATTTATCAGGTGTCTTCAGCTGAATATGTATGTCAATTCTAATTTAGCTTGTGATTTATGTCGAGGAATCTCATCATTTTCGACAGAATCCAGGTCCTGTGAAAGGTCTCACTTTCCAATTCAATCTAGAAAAGACAAGAAGAAGAAGAAGACAATTGGTGGAACTGGTTCCAGGATGAATTATCAAACAGAATATATCGTGACATCTTGAGCACAACAATGTGAAGATGGTTATCATAAAGGAAGCGAGTAAGATTGCGGACACAAATATGTAAGAAATTTGATGATGACTTATGACACAAGAGTGTGATTCCATCTTAACTGCATTACGGCTATCATGTTGCATTCGTTTCTCGACATCTGGACAACTGCACCTCACTGAATCTCTACGTTCGATTAACTCACCACTGATCTGTGCATCTGTCAGTGGAATGAAAGATACTCTGAATCGAAACACTCGTTGATTTTATATTCACAGACACGGTAAACCCCACAAAGAGGTGGATTGACGATAGTGATGATCGGAAATATACGGCAGCTGTAAACGGAATGACTCTCATTTATCTACAAACAATAACTATATTAGGTATTCCATTTAGTATTAACGAGTAAGCAGATGTCGACACTCACAAATTTAAGAATTCAGAACAACAAGTAGAATACACTGAGCCTTCTCTGTAAACCAACATTCCATGCAAATACTAATATGAAATCGCAATACGCCATGGATCACTTGTCATGAATATAGGGAAAGTGTGTTTGCACAGATTCAAACAGGAGAGATTGGTGATGTATTATTATTATTATTACCTTGCATTACAAGTGGAATATAGGGCTTCAACAACACATCTCCGATTTGTTCTGTTTTCTGAGGCTCCCTTCAGGTGAGCTCATCATCTCTATCATTATCTCATCTCGTCCTCTCCCTTGTTGCACGATCTCCTCCATGTCACTGTCACACCAACGACCGAGTCGTTGCTTCCCACTGCGATTCCACTCGAGCGATGGCTTGGTGTGTGCGATGTCATTCGGCGGTCTTCTCAGTGTGCTCCCGATCCATCTCCACTTTCTCCTACACATTTGTTGAGCAATCGTCTATTTCTTGGTTAGTTGTTAGCCAGACATAGTTTCTTGTTGATTATGCTTTCTGGTCGCCCATTTGTTCCTCAGTATGGAGTCAGCCAGTGTAGGGGGCAGCTGTTGATAAAAATCAACACTAGCCTGTCGGATATCCTTTTCGTGATACGCAATGCAGGTTTCTCAGTCGTACAGAAGTACTGACTTGACACTGGTGTTGAACAGAATCCGAATGTTGTTCCTGATGCAGCTGAGTTCGAAAGATTTCCAAACTGGTTTCAGGTTGATGAAGGTGTATCTTGCCTTCCCGATTCTGTCTGACTTTCATATCTTCGTCCGTTCCGAATTCCTGCAGTTGAAACGATGCCTCCGATATAAGTGAAGGAGGCAAATACTGTTTAATCTCTCCTGTTGATGGTGATTTTTTCAGGTGCTTATTGCCGTTGATAGGTTATATTTTATTGCCTCCGTTTCCCTGTGTCCACCTGGAGTACTGTCTTCGCTGCCTGCTTCTGCAGTCAGTTTACTGGTTTCAACTTGCAGGTCTTTGAGTTTGGGTGACATTAGCATAGATCGTCTGCGATATCCAAATCTTCTAGAGTCTTATTTTTGGCCGTCCAGCGTACTCCTGACTCCTCGACCCCAACGGTCTGACGCATAATCCAGTCCAGCACAATTAAGAATATCATCATTGGTGATAATAGTCAGCCAGCTTGTCTTACTCCTGTATGCACTTCTGTACCTCGCTGAGTTTTTCGTTGTGACCGGCAGTAAATAGGTGAAATGACTATTCTGATTTTGTATCACCTTGGCCTGGCTAGCAAATTGCACTGGCTGATGGCAGCTGATGCATATAGCATCATGCTTACCACTATGTTTACCATTTAGATTACGAATAATCGCACCAAATAGGTCCACTTTTGGAATTATTATTAATTTTCATGTCCAAGCAAACTGAAGATGTTAAAGCCAGAATCGGAAAGCAACAGAGGACTGGAAGTTTACTGCAGTGATTCGGCATAAAGAACAAGACTTGGATTCTGTTCTACACAAATATGAAGTCAGACAGTCAATTTTTCTACACGGATCAGACAATTGTACTGCGTGTCACGAAAAGGATATTCAACAAGTTACAGACTTTTCTCAACAGCTGCCACCTACTCTGGCTGTCTGGCTCCATATTGAATATCAAATGACCAGTCGACTGGCCAGAAAGAATTATCAACAAGAAACTCTGGCTGGTGACGAACTAACCAGCAGCCGAATGCTCAACAATTATGTGAGAAAAAATGAAGATGGATCGGGCATACAATGAGGAGGCCGTCTCATCACATCGAGTGATAACAAGGTCATCGCTTGAGTGAAATCCCAATGAGGAACGACGTGTGGCTCGTCAGTTCGAGGCTGACATTATGAAGTTTACCCTCATAAAACAGAAATATAAAATGGAATATCAATCTGGAAATTTCGAAATTGATTTGATGCCAAATCCGATTTTCACTCTTCAGCCCTTGTCAGCCTACTAATTTGTTGAACACAGAGTAAAACAGTACTGTTTACTGGATGACGTTTCTAACACAATTTACTGGCAATTATCCTATCAGTCATGATAATGGATATGATTATGAATAATAATGAATTGTGTTTGAAACTTTGTAAATCTAGTGAATAATTCTGTTTCACTGTGTGTGTAATATATCAAATAAAGAAATTAATAAGGAATTACATACTACCACAGTGCCCAAATTTCATACGTATATTCACTGTCTGTCTACAATTGAGTGCGTGTGTATGTGAATGTGGTTTTCTCACTTCTCAGTAAGATACCCAACAGTTTCGGAACAACCGAATCTCACATGAAGATCGCGGATTCACCCGAGAAATAAATATGTCCTCATTAGCTCCAGGTACACCAAACACTCTTAGCCAATAGGATAGATGTATATTATTAGGTTACTGAATCACTAATGTAACCCTGAAATTCAATTTCATATTGACTGTTATCTTGGACCGGATTATTGAGCCTCTGCTTACTTAAGCAATGATTCAATGATGACGTAATTCTTTTCATAAGTTTTATAAACACTTTGATTCCCGGATGACGGTTACAGTTGAATCAAGAGAGCAAGTATGCCATGCTCTTGCACTTTTGGAATATACCAACTGAACATTAATGTGGGACTAGATTTCATCTAGCAGTCGTGTCCATGACTACTCCCGATTTCATACGAAACGGTTTACTTCACTCGGTTACTCAATCAAACGATAGTCACAAGTGATGCGCCACGAATCTATGGTCACTTCGAATCTCCATCTCAGTGAAATCGCCAACGCAAAAGGCGGATAAAATGTTTCAGAGGATTAACAATATACTAAATTATGCACCTAGTTGTCAATTACAGTTACTAATATGCTCCTAAATCAATTTGAAATCTCATACAACTTCCTATTGTTATCCGGTTTGATTTCACTGAATCTCTACAGTGCCAATCGACTTGATAAATATAAATGAAATACTCGTGACTTACAGTAACATTCGACAGTAAAACTCTTTCATTCTCCATGAAAAGTCCTGAATATCGCCTGGATCCATAGACCAAAGACGTTCAGCAGCCACGGCAGTTATTGGCCTTGACATGTTGTCAACATAATTACCCGGTTGATATGAAAGTGAAATGAAATGTCGTTTTATAATACATGCCAGCGATAGAGTAGCTGGCTGTATATGTATCTGAAATCACTCGTTTCTGTGTATGATAAATCAGCGTATGTGAGTGTTTTAACCTCATTTTGATTGAGTGGTTCAACTTGTTTCTGGATAATTCCGTGATAATCGAGTCATATAGGCAGACTGATTTCCTTATCAATCTGAGTGAAGTATGTTCTGGCACCTTGAAGCACTGGGTTATGCAATGCTGCAATCAATGAACTAGAAACTGCCTGTGGTATTTATTTGCAATGCGTAATCTCAAGGTTACAGATACACCTGACTGTGGATTCTCCAGAGACACAACCTAGTTCTATATACTAGTGATTGAGTGACCTGAGTATTTGGATACCAGTCACTTCAACTGAACTGGCTCAGTACTCTGCACTCAGTCAAACTAACTTATCTCTGACGCCTTCATCTCCAAAGGGGCAAACGTGCCTTCCACTGCTTAAATCATTTCGATCCGGTCAACAACCGGAACTAGTTAATATAAGCTGTCTCCGTCTAGAGGACACCCTGCACTTAGATTTGCTATCTTGATTTCGGTGTATGATATCCAGCGGCTCACAGTGTTGTCTGAATAACTTCGCTTTCTGAGGGAAGCTTCAGTGGAACTGAGTAAACTGAAAATCATGAATTCATTTGTGCTAATTGTGAAATTGACATCAACTAATTAGGAAACAGAAGGATTCAGCGAAGAAATGTTTACTTTTCAATTAGATCCTCATCTCACTCACTCTGATTCTACTCTAATATACATGTATAGCATTTTAATCACAATACACAACAATTCACAATCCAGTGGAACTGATATGTTTGATAACAATAATTAGTCAGTCAGTGTCAACATGTCAAGGCGACGGGTGGTAATCAACGGAGAAAATTAGTACACACAATTAAAACGTAGAAATGATCGAAGAATGCATAATTTTGGAAAAATGAAGAGTAATTAAGGAATAGGCCAGTGCACAGATGAAGTAGTCAGAAAAGTAATAAAATTATTTGGATAATTACATTTCTCCATTCCTACCAACCTTAATTTCGCTTTACAAATTCGTTTTCTACATACAACAGTTGAAGAAATAGGGATCCGCCTGCATAAGCTAAACCTGTGTGTTAAGGGGAAATATGCGTACAGACACCTTCCTCACTTTGACCATCGTTACATGAATGTATAAACCAGACAGTGTGAAATTCTTAACCACGTAACATGACATCTGAAACCCATTTTGGTAGCCACCTGCGTGAATCCCCTATGATATTTGCATTAAAACAAATAGTTGTGATTATACTGTGGTGGCAGCTGGCTGCAAGTCAAAATTGTAGACAACGGTTTGCGCCAATGTTATGTCCTGAATCACAGTCATGAGGAAAATATTAACATAGCTTAACCCTGAGGAACTCACCAGGCAATCACAGCGGACTTAACGGGTGCAAATACAATTCTCAGATATATAGCTTAACTTTCTAAGAAACTGTCATGAGCAGTACAGAATAACATTCAGCAAAAAAAACAACAACAAATCAGAAGACGTTGCTTCTCCACTGACAATAATGTACATCAATTATTATTATTTATTATTATTATTATTAAAATCTACAAATATGTTTGATTTTCTCAATAAACGATCTGTTGCCTAGCCCTTGTCATCTGTCGTTACAATACAGCATAGCTGTCAGTTCGTTGCGCTTTATCGCATGCTGCATAACTCTAACGTCACTCTGTGGAAATACCACACGAATATCATTCCTACACTTTCGTTGTTTGCATGAATACCATGTGATGAATAAAAACAGAGTTTAGTGATTTTTGAAATCTATTCACCGTCCGCCATTTCCATCATATTCAGATATGTGTAGCTATTCACTTCATTCCTGTCTACTTTGAAACTCTTTCCGTCATGTTTATATTTTAGGTGTGTTCGATAAGTACCTGATGAGGAAATAACAAAAGAAGTGCAACCGCCAGTCTAGACACGTTTCACAGACATTCTAGATATAATTTAGGTATTCGGAAATCCCCTTCAGCAAGACAGGTACTAAGTTCGTTCTATAAATGTATATTGCGGTACAACATCCACGGTATTATGTCTCTCCTTACAATAATACAGCGGTGTCATAGAAATCACAGATTTCCATTGGATATTAGTAGAATATAAAAAATCTCATGGAACAATTATGTCGAACTTTGAAGTGAAATTCAATACCTATTCAATTTCCAGTCAACCTTGATACTTGAAAATATGTTTAGCTAATCGACTACATATTGATCATCAATTGCTTACCATGATCGTAAGAAGAGATTAGTGTCATCCACATAAGTTCCCCAAATGGTGACTTCTCCACCAATAACCAACTGAGCTTCCTCGTCAGTACCTGTTGACGATGCGAAGAAAACAGTAATTCATCAGTGTTGCCGCAAAAATATAGTGAAGGCACTTTAGCACAACGATTGTAAATATTTTCAATTCTACTTTACTGTGACGATGTGGAATGCTGTCGGTGTTCAGACACCTGTACATTTCACTTGTCTCCATTCTGACCTAATCCAGATATCCTAAGTTAATGAATTCCATGGTATCTCATGGGGTATGTCAGTCAGTATAGTAGTGTCTGTATTATTATTTATTTCACATTTTGATCATCACTCTGGAGTTTTACCTGAATTGCCTCAGTCGTAAATACACAAGTTATTTTTTATTTTGATAAACTGTCACACAGTGTTGTACAGTTATATTAACTGATGACGTTTCGAGTACAAACTATTACCACTCATAATCATATCAAGGCATTACTCACACAACATTGTTCTTTCATTTATATACATGTGTAGAATGAATTAGATATTGGATTAAAATCAATGTGAGATAATGTACATTCAGAAATAATAGTACGAGTGTTGTTGATCAATTGCCGTTCGATGGGAAAAAAGGACGAGTGTGTTTTACAGTCATAATAAGCTACTTGTTAGAGTGTTGTATTTGAATGTGTTTCAATTCAAATAGAATTTTAAGATTATTTATTATCCTCTTCTGATTCGACCTGCGATATTAATATCTTCCATATCTCTGGTATTTGCATTGAGTCATTTCTGTTGCATGTGTTGGGTGTAGACTCGATAAATAAGGATTCTATGATCAACAACACTCGTACTATTATTTCTGAATGTACATTATCTCACATTGATTTTAATCCAATATCTAATTCATTCTACACATGTATATAAATGAAAGAACAATGTTGTGTGAGTAACTTGATATGGTTATGAGTGGCAATAGTTTGTACTCGAAACATCATCAGTTAATATAATAATATAATATAATAATATAATAACTGTACAACACTGTGTGTGATTTATCAAAATAAAATCTTATCCATAATGGAGTTATACTCTACCACCACAGTGTCCAAGTTTTATACTTATATCAATTACACAATTTATTGTAGTAACGGTAATATCTCCTGGTCTACCTCGGTCACATGTACACAATTTAATGTAGGAACAGTTACTTCTGTAAATAGTTGACGAGGGTCCGATGTCTAATGGAAACTTCAAGTCTGCTTCATGACAAGTCTCCATACCAAAACATTATACAGCTAAAAACCACACCTTGCACTGCACTGAGACTTGTCAAATTTCTTTCAGAGAACAGACGGGGACAGGCGTCCACTCTCCATCATTTATTTTTCACGGAATTTATAGCTTATTCAAAAATAACATCAAAATCACCTCCAAATGCAGCGGGATCACAATCGTTCAGAGTCTTCCATGCATCATCGAAATTCCTGACAACTTTCGACCAACACGCTGAATTGATCACTCTGTATCCAGATGATGTGATTGACTTGGTGACAGCTTCCCAGTCTGAATTATTGTGTACTTGTATGATGACGTTTTTGTCATTAACCTGGTATCGTAAAATATAAAATATTAACACCATTTAGATTATCAGATGTTTGAGATTGGCATTTTGGAATTCATCTATCTCGGCACAAATAGAGTTCTTTCAGAGCTTTGGGGTAGTGCCTGTCACCTCACTTTCTCTGTTTACCGGCATCTTCTGATCCTACATTGCTGTTTATTTTCACGTTAAGGCGTGTACTACTCGTCACAACAAAGTAGTACACCTTCATCCATTTTATATTTTACCGTACATCCTTGGGAATGTCTGTATTCGACTATTTTTAATTAATTTCGCCCCACCCTGTACAGCCGCGCGTTGTTTATTTCTGACAGACCCAGGAGTGACTTGTACACAGTTCTGCTGCTTTACATTTTATACATCGTCACAGTGATTTGACGGAATTTAAGATGCACACCTCACATTTCAAGTTTTTGAAGCTGTGTTCGTCTTCTCATCTGTAATGTGGCACTAATTTTGAGGAGAGCCACCAAAGGGGGGCAAACGTACCAATGACTTCGAAAGGATCAACATGATGAAGAAGAAAAGTTTTAGTGCCCGAATCAAAACTAACCCTAATCTATAGCTAACCAACATTTATCTTGCTGACTTTAACCTATACCTAACCTAATTCAGGCATGGCATATCCCTCCGACGAAAGCTTAAATAAAGCAGGTGTAATGTTTCAGAATTTCACACCACTCTCGTGAGTTCCTTATTCCTATGACGTCACTTACCTGAGTCCATAAAATTCCTGTGGTTGCCAGTTTTAATGTCATTGGTCAAGGCAAATACATGTAAGTCAAGCATTTCGTTTCGATTGTTGCTTATCGCTCAGGATCTCTTAGAAGAAATCCACACTGCTTAGGTATCCTAGTAAAAGCATTGAAAATGAACCCAGAGACACCAGCGGACTTGATGACACCATTACTGGAGAAGGTGTGGAAAGAGGGCAAAGTACCCGAGGATTGGAAGAAAGGATACCTATTCAAACTACCAAAGAAAGGAGACTTAAGTCAATGCAAAAACTGGCACGGAATTATGCTTCTGTCCATCTCAAGCAAAATACTAAGCCGCATCATCCTGGAGAGAATCAAAAAAGCCAGCCTGGATGAAAAACTTCGACCGGAACAAGCTGGATTCAGAAGAAACAAGTCATATATTGATCAAATCACCACACTACGGATCATCACTAAACAAACCTTGGAATGACAGTCACCTCTCTATCCCGCTCAACTTCATCGACTTTGAAAAGGTCTTCGACAGCGCAGCGTCTATCGAGAGGTGATTTGGAAATTACTTTGCCACTACGGGGTTCCATCGACAATTATACATCTCATCCAACAGTTATACGACAATGCTGCATGTCAAGTAATCCACAACGAGAAACTTACGGAATCCTTCGAAGTGAGGACGGGAGTGAGGCAAGGCTGTCTACTATCACCAATGATCTTCCTGATTGCAGTAGATTGGATAATGAGACAGACAACGGGCAATGAGGAAACAGGCATAAAATTGACCCTAACGAAAAGCATGGACGATCTGGACTTCGCCGATGATATATGTCTGATTTCCCACAAACTGGAAGATATGCAAGTCAAAAGCAACAAGTTGGCGAGAGAAGAAGCATCTGAAGAAGATAGGACTTCAGGTGAACACGGGGAAAACAGAGGTGACGAAGATTCCTGGCCAACACCAACACCAACAGCAACAACAACAACAACAGACAACAATCAGCCAGCATAAATGGGAGAAACCTGAGAGAAACAACCTCCTTCACCTACCTACCCACCTACCTGGGAAGCATCGTTTCAACTACAGGCGAACGGAACCGACGAAGATATCAAAGCGAGAATCGGAAAAGCAAGACAAGCTTTCATTACTCTCAAATCTGTGTGGAGAGCAACAGCATTCAGAATTCAAAATGAGATCCGGATTTTCAACTCCAATGTGAAGTCAGTGCCAGTTTCTATACGGATCAGAGACTTGGCCAGCGAGTCATAAGGAGCATCTCCAACAAACTTCAGACCTTCATCAACATCTGTCTTCGATCAATACTCATGATCAGATGGCCGGCCAGAAAAGATCAGCAATAGGGATCTCTGGCAGTGGGCGAACCAACCAGGAACCAATTGGGAAACAAATAGGGAGGGGGAAATGGAGATTGATCGGCCATAAGCTGAGGAAACCATCAAATAAAATCACTGGACAAACCCTCGAGTTGAACCCGAAAGGGAAGTGGCGAGTTAGTCGTCAGTTCGAGAGTGACTTGGAGGAGGTCATGTGAAGAGAAGGTGAAAGCATGTGGACAGACTTGGAGCGGGGTGAAAAAGTTGGCAGATAACAGAAGACAATGGAGACGCGCAGCTGAAGCCCTATGTTGGTCTAGGAATAAAAGGTTATAATAATAATAATAATATAGTTATCAAGATCGGTATCTCACCACACTACCTCATGTATATGTTTAATCAAGTGATTCCAGATTCAACAGAAAGGTGGGGGTGTTTGGATACTCAAAGTGATACACTTTCGCATCATAAGACGTTAAACACAGAACCGATACACGATGCTGATGATAATAACAGCGATCTACTTATTTTATATTACCCCCGATTTCGCGTATCTCAAAATAACCAGTAACAAGAGGTTAAAATTGTCAATATTTTTGAAGACTAAACTCTCATTGGTTGTTACTTTTTCAACTTATCAGGGAATGTAACATGTATCCAGGTCATTTAAAAGCTATGCATATGGGATCTTGGTAGTGTCTGGGTATTGTTGAGGCAGTGAAATCTCTCCTTCAGAGAGGCACCTTCTCTTCCATGTCGCCCGCCGGTGATGTTGTTGTGGTTGTGCTGGTGGAAATACTTAACGTTAAAATGAAGGATTAGTCTTTGATGGCTGGCAGTCTATGACCAAGTCACTTCCTCTAAGATTTTAGACAAATGCGAAATAGCCAATTTTAGTCTCAGGATGCTGATTTCACATACTGGTTAACGAAGGGTAAGTCGTTTTGTGTTACATTGAAGTCAATCATTCGAAGGATTAAGATTTAAGGTAACAAATGGAATAAGTTTTGTAGTGTCCGGATTGTAGCAAGATGTGAAAATATGGACACAGTTTTATCCTCACGAAACTATTTCTTAACAATTTTCACGTTTGTTTCTACACAAAAATTAAGTGGACAGACAATCACATACAAATACCTGTGAATTGAGATGAGTATTCAGTTGATTCATTGGAATGACATGAATATTTTCACATGTTCACTTCTAAATGATCTTCTTGTTTCAGTGCATTGTAATCATACTCTAGATGGCAGTGTGTATATTCACACAAATCACACTCCTGGTCACTTCCAGTCACCTTCAGTCAGGCTTGTAAATTGAGCAAAGTTTACTTCAAGATAAAGAAATTACACCATTCAACTTCCTAATTCTTCTATTTTCTGATTCATAATTTAATTGAATCAGTGATCCCATGTAGAGATGAAGAGTATAAGACTTTTTGCAGGGGCTTAAATCCAAATTGATGCGACTACAACAATGAGGCAGAATGACGATGAATAGAAACGCTTTATAAAACAATGGAGTTTCTCTGGATACAATTTTGAGGTGGTATATTAATGATTCATTAATGTGATGAGAAATCTGCTAATATCCTTCTCCTGTTCACAGTATTTGTGATCTGCCTCGAAATTCACATGCTCAAAATATTCCATATTAAAACTGAATTTCTGAATTGGTTGCTTAGGTGAGAATAAAACTGCATTAAGTTATGAACAGTAATCGTAAACTGAAGACTACTTACTCGGAATCCATTCTCAAATACATTCTGCCATACCACAGGTGTCACGCTTTGTGATGCTGAAGTAATATTCTGAATAACTTCTGTGAGGCGTTCAAAATAATAATTTTCTAATTTATTGTAGTCTTGATTGAATCCTTTCTCTTTCATGAATTCTTGGATGTTGGCGTCTTCTTGCCTACACACACAACAGAAGAACATGTTTCTTGTTAGAAATGCATGTTACCTTCTACAGGTCGACTTTACTCACATTCTTTTATGAATAGATTGCTAAAGAGACAGACTATGCGGAACTCGAATGTGTCATCTGTATAATGGGAAACAAGGAAACTACTTGTCTTTCAATAGATAAAGACACCAGAATAGAAATTTGGTCAGGTGTTTCATAGTGTACATGTGACGAAGTAAAGGGAAACGCATATCTGACACCTCAATAGGCACGGATGAATGCATATCTACCAACATTACTTTCTATAGACTATAGATCGAACTTACAGTATTAATTGATATTAGAGCGGAATTTAGGCACTCTGATAAAGTGCAATTCCATAATAGACCAGTTGATTCGATAAAATACACGGTAAGATTATGATACTCACTGGCCGATGATGTTTCGAGCACAATTTGTTTGTCTCTGTCGTGAATATTGAATGAATGTCTAATGAACTGGGATATTCAAACTGGTTCATTTACCGTCAGAAGTTTCATTGACTACTGTGATCCAGTTGCTTGCTGTTCAGCAGATTATTTGAGCAATACAGTCAAATGTATTCCTGATATCGATTTATTGACCCTGAAGCTTCAGCATTTGAACCCGTGACATTTTGAAGCTTTAACTGTTGGTACCGTAACTCTTCGCGCTGTAACTGTCTTTTCACTCAGATTTATTGTCAGCAGAACAATAAACAATCTGATAATCGCCAATTCGTTTTCTGATATTTTCGAGTTAGTTCAGTTTATTGTTTTCTGGATGCATCTACTGTCCTTCAGGGAACGGCAACAGCTTCAGGATCCGAGGGTTGTGAGTCCTTAAAGCTGGTTCATTTACAATGTTCCACTATCAAAATCACATCAGTGCATTCACACAGTTTGACAACTTCCTTTTTGTAGGTATACTCCCTCGTAGTTTCACTGCAGTTTTTTCTATATCAGAGACAGCTGATACACCGTTTCAATTCCACGTGTTTGGGGATGATTTGACACCAAAGTATTCGACAATTAACTGAATACTCGTTTGGATCTCTAGGTGCTTGTGTGACATAAAAACACGTGTTCTACTTCGTCGTCAAGTATGCACACACTACTGAAAGCATGTCACTCACACCTACTAATCATGATTCAATTGTAAAATCAATTTCAGCGTCAAAATGAACTTCAATATTTTATACCTCTGTGGGTTGTAACGCTAATTTCTATTGTAGAAAGTCGCTGTGACTATTTGAATCCTTAACAGAAGACCCTGAAGTTATTCTTCCAAACCATTTTGGAATGTGGGTTTCGAGAAGTCGTATGAAACACTCAGGAAAAAATCTTTGGTGAACAGTCTTCCCCGGTTTCATGATCGTCGTATTTTCCACCAAGTGATTTAGATGTCGTCGTCAAGGATAACACGCAAATCATGCGGGTAGAATCAGTTAAAAGCCTGAAGTATTGAAGTCACCTCCATTATTTGACAGTCACTTCTAATATCAGTCATACATTTCTTCCCTACAGGCACCTAATCGTAATGTCTCGTACGAACCTCTTGACACGGAATAAATAAAACTCAAAAATATCTCCTCAAACGATTAGCTGTAAACAATGACGCCTTGCAAATGCAGAGGAGTCGAACAATGCATTTGAGATGGAAAGGAAGGATTACTGGAAACGCAAAGATAGAAACTTTCCCGTCATATTCCCCTTCTTCACATGGCGCAGAAGCTGAATCGCATCGAATTCTTTACAAGAAATTATACAGGTATATATATATATATATATATATGAAACGAACTACACAATAAAAATGTCAGCACACTCACCATGAATGCCTGTCATAAATGCTTCCACCAAAATGCAAGACACGGTCAGGAAATACACTCAACACTTCGCTGAATAAATTTGACAGAAATGACCAGACATTTTCATCGACTGGATTGATCGGTCCGTCGTGTGATTCACCCGAGAGTATTTCAGGATGACTTTTCCCCCATGATAGAGTGTGACCTGGATGACAGAAAGATATTTATGTGATAGACAGTTTGTTAATTTCATGCAATTACCAAATGAATTTATTTCGCTAAATTACATTCGCCAATTGCTTGGATCCGAATATTATTCACTATAACAGGTTGTCATATGAAATACGCTTCTGAGTATGATTTCTTGATACGGTTATCAGTAATTCGGGTGCTACATCATCGATATGACATTGGAGAAACTTGAAGTGTATTCACAAGTGCGGGTCCCCCATGCAGTTGAATCTCCTGCAAACAGTGGCGATATTCAGATTAGCTGTATACATGAAAACGGCTTCCTCAATCATGCCATGCACAAAGGATATAGCCATTAGGATGTTTTATATTATTTTTTATTTGAGAAGTTCATCCTTAATTCGAACCATCTTATTCTGTACTTATAACTTCATCTTTTATTCACATTTTGGCGGTCGAATTAAACCAAGTTCTATTGTCTACATTATGTGACCAGATCGATCTAATTACTGAATCTCAGCTTACGTTCCATAGATTCGAATGTGGTGTGAACTTCAATAAAAAAGAGATGAAAATTACCGTTCATCGAGAAACCACCAATCAGAAGACTGTGAATGTTTGCTTACAATAATCTATAATGATGTACATGAAAATCAATAAATATGTGTTGATTTCCTGACCTGGTTTTTGTTTTCTATCGTTACAATATGACCGCATAAATTGCCAATTAGCCATCCATAACTGAGACAAGGAGTAAATGACAATTACAAAGTACACAAGCGGATGTTAGTACATTAACGTCGACACTCCTCACCTGGTGAGTCAAATTCAACAATCACTCGAACACCATGTAATCGAGCGAATTCTACCAACGAATCAATTTCATCCTTTTCATACACATACGAATGTGCATGATACGCTCCCTAAAAATACAATCACAATGAAACAGTGATGATCATGCATTTGACTGAGAATTTCTCACCTTTGAAGACAATTCAGGATACACTGAAGAAACATACGGGAGGATTCATCATCTGTCATATGCCAGTGTAGTACATTCATCTTCACCATTGATAATGCAGCCTTTCAATTAGGAATTATGAGTTACATAACAAAAGGCGGAGGAAGGCAACTTACAATGACATTCTTAATTGTTTCAACGCTTAGATAATGTCTGGCTGTATCGATCATCATTCCTCTGTGTGAAAATCTTGGTGAATCTTCTATGCCACACTCATATATCGAATTCTATTATCGTAAAGTGAGCACATTTCCGCACTGTACCTTGTAGTTCTGATCTCTGAACACTAGTTGCAGGACTGTTTCCAGAGCGTGTAATGCTCCCCATATTTCCTCTGATTGAATATGTATGGTCCCATTGGAGACATTCAAAATATCTAGATGATAAAATTCCTTATGTTTAAGCGCCTAAAGTGAGTTCCACCTACATGATTCCTTCATTGAATCGGATGGCCATAATTTTCCATTCTCTTCATTACAGTCTTCAGTAATATTAATTTGTACAGTAGTCACTTTGTAGGATTCTGCTGAAAGAGCGTTAATCCTCTGTGGTATTTCTTCCAGACGTAATGCAAAACGCTTTAGTGCATCCTCTAAAATATAACACGAATTGTAGTTATGTTTAACACTCAAGATCTGGAGACTCCGCATGCGTGATATTCTGTAGCATATTGTTTCACTTTGGGGATTAAACACTCTGAAATTGCTATGAACCATAGTAATAAGAATTTATGGATCAGGATCATTGGTATCAATTTCATAATTTGACTGGGTTGGGATTCGATGAATCAAATGATCAACGTTCCTTTTCCAATCTGTGTTTTCTAGTTTTGCTAAGGGGGTGAACATTTTATACTACAATTTGGTTAAATTGATATTTTAGGATCATAGTGTCAATACTTTGAGATGAATGTACACTTGAAGTGGACTTTGCATTGATTTGTTCAAAGTGGCATGTTTTTAGCGAAACACACAGACTCACAAAGAATTTGAAAAAAGGAACATCAGTCATTTGTTGAGATATTAATCAATAACTTGCAGAACTCATATGAATATCAAAGAGATCAAAGTATTATGATATTAGAAAAAACGTTGTAGATGGACAAAGTCGAGAGAACATTTATAAAGACTGTCCCATAATGACAAATTACTGCTTGTTTGTTGCAGAGAGCACGAAGAATTTACATTATCTGTGAAACTTCTATGTGAATCACTTGGTTTAATTACATTCTAATGAGCTGCCATTGTGGCGGATGTTGAATATTAAGTGACTCCACTGCGGGCTGATTTTATTCCCTCTGAAAGTCTCTCTTGTAACACCTTGAGTGTGCGTTTCACACATGATGCATCTGAAAATAATTTATATTGATTTCGTTGTGTCTTATCGTGATGTTGTAATTGTTATGAGTGTCCTCAACGCCTCATAATCTCTCTAGTACTTGTGGCAATTAATCGCGACTCCACACACAAAACGAAACTAATCACATATGAAGTTGGAAATACCCTCTGCCGTTACGAATTTAAAAGTAATAATACTGTCGAAAGAATTTCAGATGATGTTACCCAATAGTTAGGCTACCTGACTTTAAATCACTATTAAGCATCCACACAAATAGAAAAGTCTCCGTTATCTGAAAAAGGGCTCTAATGAGTCATATACGTTGGTAGAACAAAATGTTAAGGCCGTTTGAAGAAAGGATTTAACGACTTATATTAACAATTTCCATTCATCTTTGTTCCCTTGGACTCCGAGAGGAACGTAGGGGCTTGAACATCTATTCACATATACATGTTGTTCAATCCTATGATGTTCTCTTCAGCTAGGTCTGCGATTGATCATAATCTCTCATCTTTTCCAACTCGCACGGTCTTCTTCATCTCGCCTTCACATCGACGACCCACTCGTCGCCTTTCACTGAGATTCCACTCCACTTATGGACTGCATGGTGCGTGATGCCATTAAATAGCCATCTCATCGTACGCTCAATCAATCTATCTCCATTTTCCCCTACGTATTTGTTGACCGATTGGCTCTTGGCTGGTTCGTGACCAGCCAGACACACTTGTTGCTCATTCTATCTGGCTGGTCATCTGCTTACTAGTGTGGATCCTACGAAATGGGCAACTGTCCATAAATGTCTGTAACTTGTTGGAAATGCTTCTCGTGAAACGCAACTCAAACTTCTCATACATATAAAAGAACTGACTCACTGACTTCACATTTGTGTTGAACAGAATCTGAATCTTGTTCTTTACACTGCAGAGTGCAGGAGACTTCCATACCAGTTTCAGATTGATGAAGGCGTATTTGGCCTTTCCTATTCTGCCTGATTGACTTTAACATTTTCCTCCAGTGTGAATTCCTTTTGAACCTACTGCCTTCTCGGACTTCATTGGCCTGATCACATTCAAGTTTTCGACTTTTGTTTGAAGACTGGCGTCCACTGGCAGTTTTGTTCCTACTGTTGATGGTATTTCTGGACAAGTTGCAGGTGATAGTCTATTCAAAACCCATTAGAAGTGATACGTCAGTTGTTCTATTTGTCTCTTCTAATTCCTTGACCAACTTTCCTTGTTTTCATCCGCTTTGATCTCTTCCTGACTAGACACCTGGTTATCTGATATAATATTTTGAGGAAGAATAAAATGTTGAGGCTATTTTGGGAAAAGATTTCAAAACTTATCTGAACAGTCTGGCTGAGCTACAGAGTCTGATATACGTTTTTTCAAAACAAAGGAGGTACCCAAAATTATGTCTGGAACTAGTTCGGTGCTCACTCAATGAAACAAAACTTAAAACACCTGAAGTATCCTCAGGTGAGCTGGCCATTTTTTCGTAGTCGATTTAAAGTTGGTTCGCTTTGATCCAGTATTTTCAGTAGAGGGTTGTTTTTATTCTGTGGAAGATGTAACACACCAAAATTCTGTAAGACTGGTGGAAGACGTTAACCGACACAGAAGGACTACCATTCATCTTCTAATTCCTTAAAGATTAACTCTTTTACGTAATGCAAGAGTGTCTCTTGTGTACCTTACCTGTTTGAAAACAAAATCAACTCCCACAGGAATGACAAATGTTTGTCATAACTTTATCAATGCGAATCTGAACTACAATCACCCTTTTCATTTACCTACATTCTTTGATTATGTTAAAGAAACTCAAGTCTAAAACCAAAAACGAGAATGTGAACAATGGGAGAGTAACAATTTGGGCACGATGATACAACGTCATTCGTCTTTGTCATTTAATTGGTTCTTGTCAACCGTCTTTGGCCCTAAACAGTTTAAATGCTCCTATGCGGAATATCAGTAGAGCTGAAATAGAAATGAAAGGATAGAAGGTAATCGGAGGAGTGAGAATTAACATTTCATGTTACCTAAAGGTGTTGAATAATTTAGCTGAGTAGAAGTCAAAAGATAGTCGTATACCATTGGCCACCCTATTATTTGACTGCTTCTTGAATGAGTTTCTAGAACTTTCACCTGATTAAACGTCACAACAAAGCTCTCAGCTTTGACTTCTGATGATCGGATCTTCGACTGGTGCATTTTCTCTGACCAATTAGCCTACTGGGACATTTAAATAAAGTTCAGCCTCCTTGGTTACAATTGTCTGAAACAGCCTCCCATCTACCCTAAACTCCCATATTCCACTGACGTATTGGAGATACCGCGCTTTTCGACTACTGCGCTACATTTCCGTAATTTTATAAAAACTCTCGTTTCTGTAAAATTTCATGCCAAGAGTTTGCGGAAACTATTACAATTATTTACCTTTCGAACACTAAATCCGAGGATAAAATCTTATTGAGAGATAATACCTATAACTAACTATTTGGATTTGTGAAATTTTTAAACATAAACACATCTATAATTGTATATATTGTGGATTTATATGTTCAGGTTGCTTCAAGTCAGTGAGTCTGTGATTTTGTTATCATTTTATTTAACTGTGCTGAACTATATTGCATGTTGTTGTATTGTATAGTTGTTGTCGCTTTTTGCCCTTTTTTCTGTGAACTGTTTCCTTTTGCTGGTGTCCGTTATTTTCCGATTTTGAGGGGAGCAACCCAAAAAGTCGCTTCTCTCTAAACTTTATCTTAATGTAATCATTCCTTTCTCAGGCGTGAGGCTAGCAACCCCACCCTGTAAACAAAATTGCTACAGAAACTTCAGCACGATGAACCTCTTTGCACCAAAAGAAAAAGTCTGTGTGGGAACATGGAACGTCCGAACTATGTACGAGACTGGGAAAGCTGCCCAGATCGCCAACGAGATGAAAAGATACGGAATACAAGTGCTGGGAATATGTGAAACAGATGGAATGGGAGTGGACTCACCAAATTGTCAACGGGTGAGTCAGTGATCTACTCCGGTCATCCACACGCACACCGAGGGCGTGGCTATCATGATGTCACCAACGGCAACGAAAGCCCTGATACAATGGGAGGCGATTTCGTCCAGGATAATGACCGCCAGATTCAACTCCAAAGGAAGGAAAGTGTCAATCATACAATGTTATGCACCCACAAACAACGCAGACCTCGAAAAGAAAGAAGAATTCTACAGGCAACTACAGGCAACAATGGACAATACTCCAGCTGGCGACATGAAAATACTAATGGGAGACATGAACGCCAAACTGGGACCAGACAACACAGGAAGGGAACTCATCATGGGTAGAGAAGCTCTAGGAGAAATGAATGAAAACGGAGAACTCTTCGCCGACTTCTGCGCCTTCAACGAACTAGTGATTGGTGGCAGTGTATACAAGCACAAAGATATCCACAAGGCTACATGGGTGTCACCAGACGGGCAAACCAAAAACCAAATCGACTTCATCTCAATCTCAAGGAAGTGGAGGCGCAGCCTACTGGACACAAAAGCAAGAAGAGGAGCAGACGTTGGCTCAGACCACTATCTCGTACAAGGGACAATCCAAATCAAATTAAAAGCTTTCAGGGAATCAGGAGCTGCAGATAGACCACAAGCCAAGTTCAACACTCAAAAGCTGAAGGACCAGGCTACAAAGGACATCTTCATTGCAAGCATAAAGGACAAAGCCGAGACACAAATCAACACCAGCGAAAAGGTCAGCGTCGAAAAGCACTGGAACAACTTGAAAACGGTGTGGAGTCAAACCTGCATAGAAATTCTAGGCAGAAAAAAGAGACAGGACAAACAGTGGCTCACTACGGACACTTGGAAACTAATAGAAGAGAGAAGGACAGTGAAGCAAAAGATTATCCAGTGCACTGACGAGCAACAAAAACAGGAGCTGAATGCAAGCTACAATACACTGAACAAAAGAGTGAAGAAGAGTGCCAGGGAAGACAAAAGAAAATATTATGAAACCATGGCAAACGAAGCAGAACAAGCTGCAGGCAAAGGAGACCTCGCCACACTCTACCAAACAACTAGGCACCTTTCGGGCAAACGTTCGACACAGATTAAGCCAATAAAGGACGACAATGGAAAGTCAATCACCAAAGAGGTGGAACAGAGAAAGCACTGGGCTGAACACTTCAAAAGACTTCTAAATCGTCCGCCACCTACAACGCGCCCAACAATACCAACAACGGAAGCAGAACTACCAGTGAACACTGACCCCCCGACGAAATCAGAAGTCCTGAATGCAATCAAGATGCTTAAAGCTGGGAAAACACCGAGACCAGATGGAATCCCAGCAGAAGCTTTGAAAATAGACCCAGAGACAACAGCGGACTTGATGACACCACTGCTGGAGAAGGTGTGGAAAGAGGGCAAAGTACCCGAGGATTGGAAGAAAGGATACTTATTCAAACTACCAAAGAAAGGAGACTTAAGTCAATGTAAAAACTGGCGCGGAATTATGCTTCTGTCCATTCCAAGCAAAATACTAAGTCGCATCATCCTGGAGAGAATCAAACAAGCCCTGGATGAAAAACTTCGACCGGAACAGGCTGGATTCAGGAGAAACAAATCATGTATTGATCAAATCACCACACTACGGATCATCATTGAACAAAGCTTGGAATGGCAGTCACCTCTCTATCTCAACTTCATCGACTTTGAAAAGGCCTTCGACAGCGTCTATCGAGAGGTGATTTGGCAACTACTTCGCTACTACGGGGTCCCATCGACAATTATACATCTCATCCAACAGTTATACGACAATGCTGCATGCCAAGTAATCCACAACGGGAAACTTACGGAAGCCTTCGAAGTGATGACGGGAGTGAGGCGAGGCTGTCTACTATCACCAATGATCTTCCTGATTGCAGTAGATTGGATAATGAGACAGACAACGGACCGATGAGGAAACAGGCATAAAATTGACCCTAACGAAAGGCATAGACGATCTGGATTTCGCCGATGATATATGTCTGATTTCCCACAAACTGGAAGATATGCAAGTCAAAAGCAACAAGTTGGCAAGAAGAAGCATCCAAAGATAGAACTTCAGGTGAACACGGGGAAAACAGAGGTGACGAAGATTCCTGGCCAACACCAACAGCAACAACATCAACAACAGACAACAATCAGCCAGCATAAATGGGAGAAACCTGAGAGAAACAACCTCCTTCACCTACCTACCACCTACCTGGGAAGCATCGTTTCAACTACAGGCGAACGGAACTGACGAAGATATCAAAGCCAGAATCGGAAAAGCAAGCCAAGCTTTCATTACTCTCAAGTGTGTATAGAAGTCAACAGCACTCAGCATCAAAAATGAGATCCGGATTTTCAACTCCAATGTGAAGTCAGTGCCAGTTACTATACGGATCAGAGACTTGGCCAGCGAGTCATAAAGAGCATCTCCAACAAACTTCAGACCTTCATCAACATCTGTCTTCGATCAATACTCAAGATCAGATGGCCGGCCAGAAGAGATCAGCAATAGGGATCTCTGGCAGTGAGCGAACCAACCAGGAACCGATTGGCAAACAAATAGGGAGGTGAAAATGGAGATGGATCGGCCATACTCTGAGGAAACCATCAAGTAACATCACTAGACAAGCTTTCGAGTGGAACCCGAAAGGGAAGTGGCGAGTTGGTCGTCAGTTCGAGGGTGACTTGGAGGAGGTCATGCGAGGAGGAGATGAAAGCATGTGGACAGACTTGGAGCGGGGTGAAAAAGTTGGCAGAAAACAGAAGGCAATTGAGGTGCACAGCACTGAAATATGTATGAACAAAATATCAGAATTTCCACTCTGAACAGTTTCTGACGTCTACAGATTTCACCAGTGAATTTATCAATAAATCCGTCGATAGCTTTTGCGATTGAACATCAGAGGATTTTATACACTTAGGAATTCATCAGCTTATATTTACTCGGATCCTTCACTCTGTCAGCCACAATTCCACAGCTGTTTAAATACACCATGTCAACCGCGTGTGATTTATGCGTGATGATTTAAGGAACACGCATCTACTTATTCTTCATCGCTACATTTCGAAGCTTTTGTGCTTGTTCATACAGCCATTAGTATGCAAGTGATTTGACTTTCCTTTCCTCTGATATCACCGAGACCGTTTTTTCTACTTACCTGAATTATTTTTTGAGCAATTTCTTTTTGACTTGTGTTTTGTAACAAGCCTTTACAGGTTAGGTTCTGGTGGGTACTACAGAGAATGAATTTTAGCAAAGCTGATCAAGTGTTACATAATGACCAAATGTCTAGCACCTTATAGACTCCTAAGACATTTTCTTGACTAATCGTAGAGTCTTTCTTTAAAAGATTTGTTCAACAGAAGGACACATCGTCAGAAATACCAAGCTCACAATCGATTAACACTAAAGCTCGTTGAGAAGTGGAGGAAGACATACCAGTATCAAGAGGTCATGATAGTTTTCTAAAATCTCTCAAACATTTCACCAAGTATGCGAGAGAAATAACTTGACGGTCTATGGTCTTAGGCGAACAACTTGATCGGTGTCATGTGGGTTGTATTCCATCAAACAGAGACCTCACTGAAACATATGCGACAGTAAATTCTGACAGTTCTGACAGCAGATATTCTCATAGTTATATGACTCTGAAAGCTTATGCTTTTCTTTGCAGAATAAGTTCACAAGTATTCTAAGAATTCAATCACATAGCACTGTGACTAAGTTTGATGTAAATGAAGTTAAGAGTTGAGTTTCATGCCATTCTCACCTCAACAAAATACACTTTTATTTCAAAATAAATTTCAATAGGGGTATTGTGTTTGTATTCTCAACATGTTCACTTAGAGTATCGAATGTTTCAACGTTATTTGTAAAAATGGTTGAATTTGCCACATTCCTCCTTTGGCAGTTTCTTCATACGGAACAGAATCCAGGCCCAGTAAACGGCTTCACCTTCCAGTTAAATCTAGAAAAGTGTTAAAGTTTGTTGTAATATGAGTATAAAACATGTTAGTAGGTTTAATTCAAACAAATATAGTCAATTTAAAGGTATATATCTGAAATCTTTTAATGCCATGGTAATAAACAAGCTTGTGGATTCAGTATGTGAACTGACAAACATGAGCAGTATGTTGACAAAGTAGCAATAGATGGTCAGATCATCTGAGATCATATCACGTGGGCAGATTGATTTGAATATAGTAGATGATGCACGAAGGTTCAAAGAAAGTCGATTAATTCACAGGGCGAGTGATTAAATCGCATCACCATGCATGATTTCAGCTCACCTTCAGTTATCATCCGTTTTTTAGCGGTAAATAATGCCACAAAACAATTATCCCGCAGGATCCACTGATAAGAAGACACTAGAAGATCTGGATTTGACAGATGATATTTATATAATGTCACAGAGAATCAGTGACTTGCAGATGAAAATCAACAAAATTCCTTCAGTTATCTAGGAAGCATCGTTTTAACCACAGGCAAACGGGATGGATGAAGGTGTCAGAGCAAGTGAGGATACACACCTTCATCAACCTCAGACCATTTTGGAAATCTCACGCACTCAGCTTTATGAAAAGCAAGACACCAACGTGAAATCGATCACATCTTCTATACGAGTCAGAAACTTTCACTGCGTGTCATGAAAAGGATTTCTAACAGGTTTCAGACTTTTATCAGTAGCTGACACCTTCTCTGGCTGGCTCCATACTGAAGATCAAACGAAAAGTTGACCGGACAGAATGGATTACCAACAAGAAACTCTGTCCGGCAACAAACCACCGAACAGCAGATCACTCAATATGGAGATAGATCGGGTATAATTTGAGGAGGCCATTGAATGATATCGTGCGCAAAACAGACTAAACACTGGATGAGAAGCGATCAGTAGGTGGTCGGTGCGAGGCTGACATGGGGGAGATCGTATGACAATCGTAGACCTGACTGACGAAGGCGTCAGATAATAGAACAAAGTGTGTGGCGGTTTGTCGGTGAAGCCGTCTGTTGTACTTGCAACCCATGGGAATAATAAACAATTAAAATAAATCCACCTTTCAACACCGGACACTAATGTTCATTGTTAAAATTACCTATTTAATTTGAAAGTACGCGGTGAAGCATCCACTTCATCTGACACACTGTTGTGTTACTCTTAGTTGTTTTTGTGCATGCGCTGTAGTTAGTTAGGCAGTCATCATCTTTCTATGTTTCTGATCTCTATGAATATTTCGTATTTTGGACCATCCGTTTATTGTTTTTATTTGTCTCTGTTCTGATTATAATCAGCAACTTGAAATTTTCAGGATAAACACTCGCATTTGCATGTAGTGTATCTTTTGCAACTGTTGACATCCTTCACTCTAATGAACACTACACATATACAGATTAGTAACAGTAGTTTTCTGATGTTTTCAAATGCTGATTTGCAGTAATTCGAATGATTACAAGTTATATCATTGAGTGAAATCAATTAGAGAACAGTAAAGAAACCTGAAATTACTGGATAGGTGATTCTTCCCAATTCAGGAATCTTCATCGTTATGCATCCACTGCGGTCGGAATTCAGGACACAGGATCAAACCTGTAACCAACGAAAGAAATCCTTGCAAACCAACACTTGAACAGTATTCCGATGCTCACTAGCGACTGCGTCTGTACAGGAAGTAACATCCAGTTCTAGTGAGAAGTCAAGGTCAACTGGATCAACCAAGTCACAAAGGAGAAAAGTTACTAGTCGATGAAAATGTCTGACTGTTGTGTGACATGTCGCAAAGTGGTAGAAATTGGAATTTATGGCGGACACTCACAATCTCACTTCAGAGTATATTCCTAACTGAAGTGAGATGTAGATTACGGTTTGTTGTCATCAAATCAGTAGGCAGTTTTCAGTATACATAGTTCGAGTTGTTTGGTTTTATCATAGTTTCCTTTGGAAACCAAGTTATACAGTTGACTGAGTGTGATCTAATCGATACCATAATGATCATGGTGATCAAGAAAACAAGCAAATTTGCATAAAACTATATATGCTACTGATTGACTGAGATGAGTAGTTGTATGCCACACACGCAGACACACACAACAACCAGTAGTGGTCGTTAGCCAGCCAGACTGGGATGATCCAGACACATGACGGCAGTTTCTCTAGTTTACGGATGGGCTCATCAGCGGTGTATATGACGTGACTCAGCTCAGAGACCCGAATCAGTTCAAACTACTCGACTGATGACATCAAACTTTGTAGCATATCTGTCAGTTTCAAAATTGATAAAAAGAGTTGGCATGAATAACTTACACTCTCATTCGACATCGAAATTCCTCCAATCTTTTCAAAAATTCACCAAAGTCATTTGCATTATGAGACCATAGACGTTCAGCGACTACAGCGGTTAATGGCCTTTACATAATGGCAAAAAACATTCGGAATTATTCTCTTGATACAAAGATGTTATTTTTGAATAAATATGGGTTCTGTGAACTGACAGTAACTGGCATGTTTATAGGGTTATTCAAGAAACACGGGATTATGAGTGAACTAGTATTCGGATACATCTATATTAGCTTATTCGAGGAGCCTATTACTTCATTTTTGTTCAAGTCATTTTGTGAGTAAACGTTTTTCAAAATACCAACAGGTTCGTCAAATGACCAGCCTCTGTGGAGATTCTTGTCATTGCCTTACAGATAAAACGATATTACGTATTTGACGACGAATAACCGAAAGTCTTAAGCACACATTTAGCTCCATGTGTAACTCATCAGTGGAATGTGCCACCTATTCCCTGCAAGTTATCATGTTTCAAATCAGACTCGTACAAATCGATCATCGTTTCATCCTTTATGTCAATAGCCAATAGGATGAAGTGTACATGATGGATTCCAACACTGTTCGACATCAACATGAAAATGACATGATGAACTTAAGCTGATTTTCATAGGATGAATGACTCTGAGATGGTAATCTCATCATCTAAAACAGTTAATAAACTTCAAAATAATTTTACACTAATTGCTCTAAATGCTTATAAACTGTTTATGTATCAACGTTCAAATGGAACGGAACTTTAGGATTTCTGAAGTGGAATACCTTTTATATCGGAGGGAGTATAATCAGAAATGGTGATATTAACTTGGATCCAATCTCATTTGGAAGTGTTGACAAAAGTTCTTTGCCTTCACCCTGTTGATTATAACATTTCTGAGAAACCAACTGATGACGTCGCAAACTGAGAAACAAAACAGCTGTTCAATACTCCCCTAGTTTCGAATGGTTCATCAACTGATACCAACCCCTTATCAAAACTTGATATAAGCTAGAGTGATATGTATTCGACGCCTATCTCCATCTGTATCCCAGCGATCATTTTTTTAGAACTGACGTCCTGTAGTAATTTATTGTATTCGTAGTATTAGTATTTCGAGATGACCGAATTACAAGAATCCAAACAAAACACAGAGAGGGCGGAATTCAGGAATTTGTATTTAGCGGAATTATATTTCAATTCATATAAGAAATATTTAACAATCAACAGTAAGTATTTAAACAATACAGAGATAGAAATAGTCAATCACCACATCCGCCACACGTCGAATGTCTCCTTGCGTATTTATAATGATATCGCGGTTTGCTTGCCAGTCTCTGCGATCTTCTAACTGATTCTGTGATATCATTTCCATCAGTATCATCTAGACTTATTTCTGAATTATCTACAAAGTCAGGATTAGTAGCGGAGTCATTATAATCATAATCGGAACGACCTACCTCATTTATTCTCACTTGATCCAAGTGTCTGTTATGAACTGAATTATCTTCGATGTCTAATATCTTCACCATTCGATTTCCCATTCTTTGTAGTATGATACCAATAGAAGGTCTATAATCATTCCCTCTGTAATAATGTACATCAGAAGTCGTGGACATCAGATGCTTTCTGAGAATTCGAGATTTGAATAGTTTTGCAGGACTTTCATGAGTACTTGTATGCTCCGCATTGCGATATTGAAGTAAGAAGTTATCCACACATCTCTCTAGCTCATCAAATTTTGAGGACTCATTGATGCTATAGCACTCTTTAATGTTCGTACAAAATTTTCTGCCAACCCGTTTGACTGAGGATGACGTGGTGCTGTGTACAAATGACGACAACCTATATGTTTGAGCCAATCATTGAAGTTCTTCTCCGTAAAATGAGTACCATTGTCAGTAACTAAGACATCTGGAATTCCTTCTCGACTAAAAATCTTTCTCAACGCTCTGTGAGTGAATTTGGCATTAGGACTATCTGTAATGATGACTTCTGGCCATCTAGAATAAGAATCCACAATAACTAAAGCATAATATGAATTTAAGAATGGACCACAGTAATCTGCATGAATACGCTGCCAAACCTCACAAGATGCAGGCCACGGTGTCCACGATGACTTCCCATAGGACATTTTATGTAAACAGCTAGAACAGCTCTTTGATCTTTTGTTAATGTCAGCATCAATTTCCGGCCACCAGCATGTTAGGCGTGCTAATGATTTCATCTTATCAGCTCCTAGATGAGCAGAATGTAGATCATCCAAAATCGCAGATCTTAATGTTGGAGGAATAATAATTCTGTCATTCAGACATAGAAATCCTTCAGGATGGACTGAAATCTCATCTCTTCGCTTATAAAAGTCTGGAAATCTTCGCTTACACTGAACATTCCAACCTCTTTTTGTTGCATTTATAACGCATCCGTAATATTTCCGAGTATCATTTATAAGTCGAACTCGATCCACCGGTAACGGCTGGACTAATAAGCAATCAGTATCATTAGCAGCATTTTCAAATAATGAATAACGAGATAAGAAGTCTGCATGAGGTATATCCTTTGCCGATCTATGTTCAATAGTGTAATCATATGCACTTAGTTCTAAACTCCATCTTTGAACCATAGCAGCAGATGATTTATTCAAAGATTTTTCTGGATTGTAAATGAATTTCAAAGCTTGATGATCAGTAACTATGTGAAACTTAGTACCAAAGAGATACTTGTGCAAGCGTCTTATTGCCCATACAACTGCTAGAGCTTCTTTCTGGGTTTGTGAGTACCCTTGTTCACTCTTACTTAGACGTCTTGAAATACAAATAACAGGTTGTCCATTTTGCTCAAGTACTGCAGCTATACCCATAGGAGAAGCATCTGTAGTGAGAACAGACTTATCTTTCGATGAAAAAGGTCTTAGGAAAGCTTGTTTATTAAGAAACTCCAAAGTTTTTCGCAAGATATTCTCATGTTGTTGTTCCCACTTAAACTGTTTACTGGAGACAATCTCAAAAAGTGGAGATAACCGTTGAGTGAAGTTGGGAATGAATCTGGAGTAAAACTGAAGAGTACCTATCCATGATCTCAACGATGACATATTATTAGGTGACGGTGCTTGAATTAGAGGTGCCAAACGACTAGCATCAGGTCTGAAACCTTCGGAGTCTACTGTGTATCCCAAGCATGATACAGACGACAAAGTGAAATGACATTTAGATGGATTAACAAGAACATTATTCTCACATAAACGCCTGAACAGTTTTAAAAGACGTTCATTATGCAATTCGATATTAGGACCATGAACTATAATGTCGTCTTGGTATGACTCAACACCATCTAATCCATCTATCATCTGATTTATTACATTTTGAAATATTGGGGTGAAACCTTTAAACCAAAAGGCAAGAACTTATACTTGAACAATCCAAATGGAGTATTAATGGTTGTTAATGCACTAGACGCCTCATCAAGAGGAATTTGCAAATAGGCATCTTTTAGATCTATTTTGGAAAAGTATCTTGAGCCATGTAGCTTGTAGAGAATGTCTTCAGTTTCTAGAGTAGTGCAACTTTGCTGTAGTAGACGACTATTGAGTGTAAGGCGGTAGTCACCACAAATTCTAGGTGTTTTTCCATCAGCCTTTAGTGGCGTCGGTGGTATAGCGGTTAGGACGCTCGCCGACCATGCATATGGTCCGGGGTTCGATCCCCGGCCGGCGCACTCCTTTACCTCACTGAGCCAGAAATAAAGCTGGTAAAGAGGAAAGGTTGGGCATGAGGCTAGCAACCCCATCCTGTAAAAATTAAACACTGCTACAGAAACTTCAAGCCACTAGCTTGGAGCCCTATGTTCCACTGGGAACGTGAAGGAAATCTTTTTTTTCTCTTTTTCTTTAGTGGCGTAACAATAGGAGTAGCCCAATTTGAAGGCTCAACTGGCATAAGTATGCCTTGCTCAACCAACTTGTCTAACTCTTTCTTAACTGCATCTCGCAATCCATATGGAATTAATCGGCGTTTCAGGAAGATAGGATCACCCTCTATTTCAAGGTGGATGGGCTGAATCTTCATACCATCTACACTCTTTGAACATTGGAGAAGTAATTCTCTGAACAAAGATTCATCAAACAACTCAGTACAAAGTGACATTTCGACATTTAACAATCTAAGGGCTTTTAATCCCAATAAAGATAGACCTTATTCACTAACAAGAAAGGGAATATTTACAAAATTACCACTGTCTGTTTTTAAAAAAATAATATAGTAGCACCGATAAGAGGTAGCTTATGACCAGTTATGTCTGTAATTGGACTAGTAAGAGGGTCTACCTGGACATTCTTACAGACTGATTGTGAATCTTTCTTAGAAATTATAGTATCAGTACTCCTAGTATCAATTATAAAACAATGAGACTTGCCTGAACTTGTAGTAAAGGTTCTCACTAGATGAGATTGAGTATTGGGAAAAGTTGAAAGAGAAATCGACTGCATTTTACCAGATAAATTGGAAAAATTATCAGGATTCTGAGTAACATAAGTATTCGAAATTCTGCAAACAGTCTTGATGTGTCCAACTTTACCACATTTGTGACACTTAGCACCCCGAAAACGGCAAGTGCTTCGTAGATGTAACTTTCCACAGGAAAAACACGGTTTAATGTTTTTGATCTCTCGCTGCATTCTATTACCTGTGGACGACAGTTTGGCTTGCTTTCCATGAATACTTGTATTTTCAACTTTGGACAACATGACATCAGATACTGACGTAGTGGGAGCAGAGTATTCATTATTGACATCTTCATATGTAATACATAAATCTTTAGCAGTTTGAAAGGTACAGGATTGAATCTGAATTAACTCTTTCTCTAAATTAGGAATATTGATTCCAGCAATTAGACGATCACGTAGTTGAGTATGCAGCTGATCTCCAAAGTTACACTTTGAAGCTTGAATTTGAAGTTGAAGAATAAACTCTCGAATCTTCTGGTTGGGAGCACGAACCAGTTTATTGAATTGAGCCCTCTCTCTGGTCTCAAAAGTAGTTATATGGAAGTGATCTATCAGAAGTTCACGGAGTTTATAATATGGCAGAGAAATTGGTTTATCTGGAAACTACAGAGGCTATACGCATCTAGCCCAATAGCAGTAATGAAATGTGCTACTTTTTGTCATCCCAAACATTCTTGGAAATGCACCATGCATCGAAGCATTCAAGATAATCAGCAATCTCCCGCGGAGAACCATTTATAGGAAATTTTCCCAGGTTATTTAGTTCCATCGCGACACCAATTTGTAGTGATTTATTGTAATCGTAGTATTAGTATTTCGAGATGACCAAATTACATGAATCCAAACAAAACACAGAGAGGGCGGAATTCAGGAATTTGTATTTAGCGGAATTATATTTCAATTCATATAAGAAATATATTAACAAGCAACAGTAAGTATTTAAACAATACAGAGATAGAAATTGTCAATCACCACACGTCCTGTTTGCTACAGGTTGAAATTCTTTGTTTTGTCAGCTTCTGAGAGACAAAGGAAAGAAGCAGAAAGGTAAGAAACTCTGAGATCTGTACTACTACCCAATAGTGTGTTTTCATTTTGCTAACTAACCCTGTCGTAAATGATCACCTCTGTCTGTCTCACTGTTGGCTGAAAAAGAATTCTAGACAGATCCACCAAGCTTTCGGTAGTATTGGTAGTATTGAAACTGAACTGATGCCTATTCCTCATCGCAGATATTCGTAATTTCCTTGTGACAGTGACAGTTTCTGCTTCTGTGGAATGATAGTACCTGGAGCTGGCCACACAGGTAGTTTCTGATATTCTGTCTATTTGAGGGCGTTTTCGCCGCTATATTGGAGGTTTCTGTTCTGCTTCAGCTGGAAATTAGTGCATTGTTCCATTCGTCACCTGCTTATTTCTTTTGTTCCTAGTTCTAATTCACCGAGATTCCAGCCGTAGTTATTTGACAGAAATCCTGCAGATCATCCTCACCACGTGAGAGATACACAAGTTATGTTTAGTAATGCATGAATAAATGATGAGACCAAGTTGAGGTATTTACAGACACGGTGAACTGGTTCGGCTTCAAGTGTTATATACAATGACGTTATTTTGTTACATCCGAGGGTGGCAAGTCACTTGTTACTGCAGAGATTTGGAAAGCCACTTGTGGGTCTCCAGATGTTTCCAGTGATGATTAACACCAAAATGGTTAAAACTGGACTTATGTATTTTGAAGGAAGGTGTAGTAAGTCTATCCTCTCGGCTTGACTCATCATCGTTAATTGATCGTATCGTTTTTTGAGTGCAAAAATGTCTTCTTTGCACTCTTCCTTAGTTACGTCATCACTTATTAAACTCTGTGTTTTATATATCTGGTGCCTAACTGAATGAGTTTTATTCACAGCATTTTTTGCATCATTCATTTGTTTATTACCAGTTTTCTTATGACTGACGCAATCTTTCGATTTATGCACACCAATATCTTTTTGATACTCGCGTTGCCTCTTTTCGAGGAATTTCGACAACATTACAAATGACCTGAACACTATTTTTGCATTTTCCTAACTTAACACTGCGATTGATCTAGGTGTATAACATGATGACCCTTCATAGTTGTTTGACATTTCGCCTCATCAACCAAATTAAGTACCGATGGAGCATATTACTAATTCCGTCCATGTAGCATCACCAGAGACTGCCTCCAGAGTCATACATAAAGTACGATCAAGTCATTTGACCATGGCACATGTCATGTGATCCTCCATATAAACCTCAGCGATGTGTTAGAGTTGAATACAGAAGTAGGACAAGGCTGATTATTCTTATTTGTGGTGGACTGAATTATGCGTCAAACTGTGAGTTGGGAATGAGGAGACAAGCATATGTTGGACCACCGATAAGAAGGCTGTAGAAGATCTGGATTTTGTGCGTGGGTGATTTGTGTTTAATGTCACACAAACTCGAAGACTTGCTGGCAGGTGGGAACCAACAAACCAGCTGAAGAGGCTGGCAGTCAGCGAAGACAGGACTTTAGGTGAACACAGAGAAGACGGAGGTAATTAAGACAAAAAAGCAACCAGTTAACCAACCAACAGCAACTACAGCCGGAGTTAATTACCATCTCGGCAGGTGATATTTGACACAGGTTACTTCCTGACTTCACTTATATAGCCAGGAAGTACGCTTTCAATCAAAGACAGCTGGAATGGATTTGGATGTCAAAGCCAGACAGGATCGAAAGATGAGATATGCTGTTGTCAACGCGAAACCAGCTTGGAAATATTCTGCACTCACTCACTCACTCAGCCAGACAGCTTAAACAACGAAGTTTGGATTTTGAAGACAAATGTTAGTGCATTCACACCTTCGATACGGGTCAGAAACTTAAACTGAGCGTCATGCAGAGCATTTCGACACAGGCTACTGAAGATTTATATCAACAAATGTCACCCTCACTGGCTGCCTTCATTTTGATGAATTAGTCAGCCAACCGGTCAGAAAGAATTAGCAACAAGAATCTCTGATTGATGAACAACCAACCGAGAGCTGATTTCTCGACGAATATTTGGCATGAAATGGAGATTGATTGATCGCACATACGTTGAGAAGGCCGTCGGATGACATGGAGCGCAATTCAGGCGATGGCTCAAGTGGAATGCCTATGAGAATTGACGACTGGATCGTGGGGGGGGGGCTAGAGTCACATTGAGTAAACGAACGACTGTGGTCACTCGTAGACTCAGCTGCTGAAGAGGACAGCAACAAATAGAACAAAGCTTAGATGTATCACTCGAGCCCTATATTCCATTTGAAACCCAAACGAATAATAATAATAAGGGGTTTTAAACGATATAGACTACATCTACTTCATGTGGCAGAAGCCTTAGCAATGTCTAAGGAGAAACCTGAACTTTATGTTAAGAGACGCTTTATCCATCCAGCGTCTTTTACTAATACTGAAGTCGTATTCGGTTTTTTCTTTCCTTCTTCTTCTTTTATCTTCGTTTTCCTGGATAACTCACTGTATAAGAATAAGCTCTCTACAGTCCCTTTGATGTTTTTCATCGACTCCTTTTCAGTCTGTTGTTCTCTTGTCTCTTATCAACCCTCTTCAACTTCAAACGAGTATTCATCACTCGACTAATTAAGTGTCAACCCACTTGATGACACGTAAAGTTGTTCTCAATTATACAAACATGCTTAATACTTGCTTATTCACTCTGATTTGCTTTATGATTAATTGACAATAACGTATGAACTCTGTTTTATTTGCATATAGGTTAAAATAAAATCCCCCCCCAAAATACCTGGATAACTTTGAAGGGAAAGTTACGAAAAGAGAGGGGGTCACTATGTGGACTTGTGTGTTCCTGAATACATGAAATGGTGGGGTTCATAACACGAATGGATCTGTTCTACTCAGCTCCATGAATTGTCATCACATACAATTGGTTCGCATATAATTCTTAAAAGTTTCATTAAAATTTCAAGAACATATCCTATTTCATGAATTTGCAGAAGTTGGAATTCATGGCCTTTCCATTGGACCGAGTCCCAGTGGCTTAATGGTCTACGGGATCGCCTCGTCGTTACCGATTTCGGTATAAGACTCAATCCCTAGCGGTGGGTACGTACCGTTGAGGAGTCCCACACTAGGAGGAAATAGCTGGCCTACCAGTAATCAGTACGGGTTTTCTAATAGTCCTCCAACCGATGTCACTTCAGGATGAAATTCAAGAAAGTGATTTGAATTCTTGATTAATGCTCATATCTACCATAGAATGAATACTCGGCTGGATTAAGAAGTTCAAAGACCTCAATTAATTAGATTCGCGACGTGTCTACAAGATTACTGTTTCTCTCTGTGCAAGCACCATCTCAAGACTGGATGGGGTGGGCACATAACTCTGCAGTAACCCATTTCGTTTTGCTTCTTAGATGAACGTTCAGCTTATCCCACCACTCAGTTTAGCATCAGTTGTGAAGCTTACTAGGTAACTTACTAAGAGTAACAGTGATTAACAGGTGGCGTCAAATAACGGACTGAGTAGAGTGGGATATTTTGGATTGTGCAATTCTAACCGGTCTCAGTCATTCCAAGAGTTCCGGGAGAATAACTTTCTAGAGTCCTTTTGTAGAACACGGTAGTTGTCTGTTGCCACATATTTTCTCATGATTCAGACTAAGAAGACACTTCTGTTGGAATCCATTAAGTCTCCTTGTTGAATTGAAATCTAAAGAAGACCCTAACTATTTACTATTATATTGACTTTTTCGTGAATTTTGTGTGATTGTGAGGGAAAGATGAGGAGAATGAAGCCTTGTCATCACATGTTAAACAAAAAACCACTTACCACGCCTCTATGAAGAGACTGATGTCATCAATATATGTTCCCCAGATCAGAGCTTCTCCACCGATAACCAACCCAGTCTCTTCATCAGTACCTTTCAGAAAAGAAAGTGGAATCACACAGCGGAATCTCAGTTTGATCAAAAACTGACATCGCAAAGTAAATAACTTCGGTGTTTGTTTAAAAAAAACGCTGCTTTTCTCACAAAGATCAATGTTTATAACCGTTGGGAGAGCTCCCAACAGAACTAATCGACTTGACAGGAAGCGATTGCAATCAATCTACAAATATCCAATGTATATGTTCCCAAACAAGTAGTTATCATTCCACTATGGCTACAATTTTATTATTATTGATAAAGTCTCACAATGTTATACAGTAGTATTCACTGATGACATTTCGAGTACAATTTGTTATTGTTCATAATCATATCCAGTTTTTATATCAAACAAGCAGTTATCAGTCTTTCCTTGTCCTGTTTACTCGATGCCTTCAATCACCATTTCATTTGATTGCATAATCTTTGGCTTTAACCTCTTTCTCCTTCACTGCAGTACACTTCTGATTGTCTTCCGCTTCTATGATTTCAAACAGACTCACCACATTGTTACTCAATGCCTCGTCTTCATTACACACAACTCCCTTCCCATCGTATAAAATCATTCGCTCTGCGTTTTGCTTAAACTTGGAAAAGCTAATTTAGAAATTAGTGGCTACTCAGTCCAATCACTAGCCTGTCAGATGACAAATACTTTAAAGCTTGACAGCAAGCTGTGTCAAACAACGGGAGTTCATCCCTTATCAGATAACCTATATACATATAAATAAGTTCATTAAATAGAGATAATTAATGAACCAAAGTCATCTACAATAAATAATATTGTCTCACCTTCAAATTTAGTTGGATCACAATTGTACAATTTCTCCCCATTCCGTGCAAAATCATTATCAATCTCCTGCCAACACGCTGAATTGATCACCCTATAACCACCAGTGGATGTAATTGATTTCACCAGATTTTCCCAATTCGACTGATTCGCGACGTGAATGACAGTGTTAGCATTACCCTGAGGAATAAATTGTGTGACATCATAAAAACGAGTCCTTATTATCAGTGTATTTACTTTATCAATTTCGTGAGATCCAGAAATTTGATTTGATTAAGCTCGTTACACTCATATGAGATGTCAAAGAATAATTGAGATGACTTATTCCACTGCACTACTAGTTGAGAAAACTTGCATACGTGATACACTGTTGGGAAACACCAGTGAAGATAAGCAGAAGTAATGTAGGGGGGATAATATTATGAAAGAAACGAGGAAAGTATTCGGACAAAGTAGAAGGTTGTGGACGTATTTTGTTGTGTCTTTACCTCTTCCTCCTCCTGCTGCTCCTCCGCTTCATTCCACTGAAGCTCCTGAATTTTATTCCGAATTTCTTGGTTATTTTTCGCTTTAACCAGTGAATTCAATCCAATCCTCCTAGAAGTTTGTGATGCACAACAACAAACGCATTTTAATCTTGAGTTCAATCAATATTCGAGGGAGTTAAACCTTCCTTTGACACTTTTAGAGTCTTTCGGAGGAAATAGGACAAGTTCTTGTGTGAATGAAACAAACTGAGAATATCACAGGATGGCGATTGATGGAAAACGTCTCTACAAAGAATATACATCAGTTCATCGACGTAATAAACAAACATATTTTACCGCCATCTACTTTCCTTTTCTATCGTCTCGCAATGAATGCAATAATGTTCTCGTAACACTCATGAGACTTGGGCGACCGGAAACCTCCATCGATGTATTGCATATAATTTCCACTATTCAGTTTGTTTGTTTAAATCTAGTAAAGATTGACCTTTAATAGTATCGTATACTCTGGCGAGTATCTATAACATTGACAACCTGCTGATTCAAAAGTTTCTACTAAACATGAGAAGAAGCATTATCCTTGATGGATAGCGGTTTATCCCAGTACATGAGATGACCGTTGCCGAATGGTGCCCAAGGTTCACAAAATGTTCTCCTGAACGTTCTACAATTGGCATTCAATAAAATGTCCCGATGGAGACAAAGAAAAGATATCACAATGGATTGTTTTTTGCGTCAGGACAGATGGAACTATGTCACACTACCTACTGCCTCTCGCTATCATGCAAAAACCTCTGCTGAAGATTGTGTACATTATATAAGCAATCACTAGCATTATTATATTATGCGTGGTGGTTAGAACGCTCGCCAACCCTACACATGGTCCGGGGTTCGATCCCCAGCCGGCGCACTCCTTTACCTTGCTAAGCCAGAAATAATGCTGGTAAAGAGGAAAGGTTGGGCATGACGCTGCCAACCCCATCCTGTAAAATTAAACACTGCTACAGAAACTTCAAGCTTGAAGCCCTATGTTCCACTGGGGAACGTGAGGGAAAAGGAAGTACTATTATATTACTCACAAATGTCATTACTTAAAAGTGTGTAATAAGAGATGGTGGTAGCATTGAGAAACACTCTAACCGGAATGTTATCGAGACACAGACATTTATAGAAGTTTTGTGAAAAGTGGGCATACGTTGATGACTGCGAACGATTCAGAATACAAACAATTCGGTAATCAGGATTCAGATGCAAAACAGTCACATAATCGTTGAAAAATGTACTAAAATCCATTGTAGACGCGATAATACTCCTAATAGTTGTCGAGTATGTGCTGCAAGAATGCCTCGTAGTCAATGCACAGAGGATCTATGAAGAAGTCATACAGTGGTGGTGTGATACAGACAATGTGTGCCAATGGAGAATCATTCTCACATATTCCCACGGGTCAATTCGGCATTAGCGACAGAATACGATATATTCATTTGAACATTCTACTTCATGTTGTTTGATGTAAATCGAAATCACATACTCAATGATTGGTTAAAGTATATAAACTGTACATATATAAACAGCTGTTTAATCAATGAAAAATATACCTTGGCTCCCATATCTTGCCTTCGGTTGTCACAATACTATGAGCGATAGATACATTCAACCAGGTGACTGTAGGTCATAGTACTTTGACAGACGCTGATATCTCTGACACTGTTCTTTAATCTACTCCATACTCTAACTATTATCCTCATTTTAACTCTAAACCTAAACTTTACCCTAGAGCGTCAGCATTGATCTTAGAAGCCATAGCCCTAACTAATTGTTGATTTACCCTCTCCGATTCAAAAAATGCAGACATGATTTGATTTCGAATGAGTCTGTGTAGCATTCCCTGTATCTGACTGGTTCTTGAAGCTCAGCTTTCGGAAACACCATAACTTTTGCTAAGATACTTTAACTTCTCCCAACAGTCATTCTCATACATTTTCATGTTATACGTACAAAATGACTTATACTCCTAATTTATATCTTGCTTTGAATACCATTCATAGAGTGGTAATAAAATGAAAATATGAAGTACAGTGTAGTTTCATTATCAACTAATTTTAAAGTTTGAATTGTACTCACTCGAAAACCATTTTCAAATACCTCCTGCCAGACAACAGGTGTAATACCGCCTGAATTTGCAGCAATATTCTGAATAATTCCTGTGAGCTGTTCAAAATAATGATTTTCTAGTTTATTATAATCTTGGTCAAATCCATTCTGCTCCATGAAGTTCTGGATCTCGATATCTTCTTGCCTATTAAGTAGAACACAGCGTCTTATAATTTACATGCACTTTTTAAAGGATGGTTTTGTAGTGCTTTGAACAATTTCAGTTTATACCACAAACACTCTGACGTTAGTTAGGAGACCACTGAAGACTAATAGGAAGTACTGGACAGGTGTTTCGTTCTAGTTTGAGGCTCTTCAAGCGAATACATGCGCTACTCTCGCCGGCAATCGAACCCGGGGCCTTCGGGTTACTGGGGAGTCCTTCGACTATTAAGTCACCAAGATCGAATCTAGTGGTAGTTGTGCTATATTTTGCAAACTGACAAAAGATAAAACTCATGGACCATTAGGTTTCGTCCCGGTGACTGAATGGTCAATAGGTCTTGGGCTTTTTCCATTGTAGGGTGACAAGTGCGTACTTCTGAATAGTACTGAATAGGGGTGAAACCTATGTGAGATTCTCCTTGATCTTCAATGTTTCACTGTCTGACATCAATCCGTGATCTGAACCGATATATACGCGTATATAAATCATATTCTGGAACCTAAAAACATCTTGAATTAAACATGTCATGAGTAGCGATGAAAGCCTCGTTAAACCTTCTGTATAATTTCGTTTTCCACTGACGAATTACTCATTAATATTCATAAATATAGCGTCGGTGGCACAGTGGTTAGGACTCTCGCCGACCATGCACATGGTCCGGGGCTCGAGCCCACGCCGACGCACACCTGATATCTATGGTTGGCCTGCGAATTTTGGGCTACCGATATCCACGCTGAAAATTCCACACTTGTACCAAAAATACGGTGTGGAATCAAGCTGTAACCATAAAAAAAAAAAAAATGTCTGTGAGTGTCTTTTTATGCATGAATGCGTAAAACTTGCCTTCATTCAAGTCAACCAGCACTAACTTTGGTGAATTTTGGACGAAAGCCTTATATTGTAACTTCCACAGCATCTGGAATTGAATGTGAACCGCGTGCGTGGATGGCAAGATTTCTAAACAAGTGACGCGAATCAACATGATATCAGCTAAATAAATATCTGGCCGACATACTGAATCCATAGGTGTTTTGAGTTTCGTTTGAACGGGTAAGCAGTTGATCAGGCTCAGACGCTCCAGGCCCATTTGATTTGGTAACACACATATCCTCTGTACTTCAGCCATACTAGTCGGATAAATCCTAAAATCTATCCCTTAGATAACCTCAAAATTTGTTTAATATACTGCGCATCACCGTGGGTTTCTGAATAACTGGGCAATAGGTTACTGTTTAGTTCGTTAGCAGAGGTCATTGTTGCTCATCCATTTTGGCCAACACACTGATCTTCAGTATGAATCGAATTCAGCTGTTGATGGAATTCTGTCTTGGCCTTTTGAAAATGCTTTCCGTGACGACACAAATCCTTGAACCATCTAGAAACACCCACTGAATTGCACTGAAGATCCTGACTTTGTCCCTGATGCTTGCTGTTACAAATTTCCACATGAATTTCAGAGTAATTGATTTTTGTGTTGCTTTCCCAGTCCTGAATCTGACATTCTCATCCAAGTCTCCTGTAGGTGAAACGATTATTATTGTTACTCGTGGTTCCTTTAATTCCTAGAGGAACATAGGGCTTCAGTCGCACGTCTCCATTGTGCGCTCGGTTATCTGCCGACGTTTTCACCTGGTTCCATACATCTGCCCACATGCTTTCATCTTCTCTTCAAACGACCTCCTCCATGCCACCCAACCCTCTCACGCACGACCAACTCGCCGCTTCCCCTTTCGAGTTTCCTTAGAGCTATGGATTGGCTTGAGATGTCAGCTGATGGCTTGTTTTATCACAGAATGGCCAATCCACCTCCATTTCTTTCTGCATATTTGTTGCACGATCGGTTCCTGGTTGGTTCACTCCCAGAGATCCCTGTTGTTGATCGTTTCTAGTAGTCTGATATTGAGTAGTATTGAGCGAAAACAGCTGGTGACGAAGGTCTGCAGTTTGTTCGAAGTGCCTTTCGTGATGTGGCACCAAGTCTCTGATCCGTATAGTAAGTAGCAATGACTTCACATTGGGTTTGAAAATCCGGATCTTATTTTTCATGCTGAGTGCTGTTGGTCTCCACACAGACTTCAGAGTAATGAAAGCTTGCCTTGCTTACCCGACTCTCGCTTTGATATTCTCATCAGTCCCTTCCGCCTGTAGTTGAAACGATGCTTCTGGGGTAGGTAGGTAGGTAAATGCGTTTGGTTCTTTCAGATTACCGTATGTTGTTGTTTTTGTTGTTTCTTTTACTGTTGACCAGGAATCTTCATTCCCTCCGTTTTCTCTATGTTCACCTGAAGTCCTTTAGTGGATGCTTCTTTTATCGCAAACTTGTTGCTTTTCGCTTGCATACCTTCCATCTTGTGGGAAATCAAAAATATATCATCGACGAAGTCCAGATCCGCCGAGTTTTCTGTGTGGGTCCATTTTATGCCTGTCTCCTCGCTGTTTGCTATCTGTCGCATTATCCAGTCTACTGCCCTTGGTCGGGATAATCATTGTAGATAGTAGGTAGCCAGCTAGCTTTGTACTTCCCCCGTCTTCACTTCGAACGGTTCTGTGAGTTTACCGTTGTGGATTACTTGGCACGCAGCATTGTGGCATAACTGTTGGATGAGATGTATAATTGTTTGGAACACTCCACGGTGGCGAACTAGTTGCCAAATCACCTCCCTATCGACGCTGCGCTATCGAAGGCCTTTTCAAAATCAATGAAGTATAGATGCAGAGCTCACTGCCATTTAAAGCTGTGTTCAATGATGATCCGTATTCTTGCGATTTGATCGATGCATGATCTGTTCCTCCAGAATCCAATCTGTTCCGGTCAAAGTTTTTCATCCAGAGTGGCGTGTTTGATTCTCTCCTTATTAAACTGAATTATAATTTCAATACAAATTGTCAGACTTACCATGAATGACGATCATACTTATTTCCACCTAAGTGTAAAAAGCTATGGGGGAATACACTCAGAATTTCTCGGAATAAATTTGATAGAAATGTCCAAACTTCCTCACCGACTGGCTTTAATGGTCCATCATGTGATATGCCCGATAATAGTTCCGGGTGACTTGCACCCCAGGACAGAGTATGACCTAGAAAATAGAAATACAGGCAGTTACTGTAGAGTGTGCTCATGAGACTGGAAGAACTGCATTAGGTGACATCTTTAAAACAGTGCAATATTGATTGATCCCAGTGTGGATGACATATCTTGGTTGTACAGTGTGCAATAAATTCCTAATAGGAATTTCACTGTATGCAGAACCCTGCCCACCAGAACGAGCTAGGCTCAGAGAAGAGAGATCATACGCTGATCAGATTGCAACTCTACGCATCGTCATCACAGAAGGAAGCATAGAACGGCAGTTGAATCTCTCTCTACCTCAACTTCATCAACTTCGAAAAGGCCTCCGACAGACAGCGTTGACTGGGACGTAATTTGACAACTACCTCAATACTACTGCATGCAGTACCCAAGTCTTCATCAACCTCATTCAACAACTGGCTACATGATAGTGGCACGTGTCAGGTGGTCTGCATTAGAAAACACAGAAAGGCGTTCGAATTGAATACAGGAGTAAAACAAGGCTGTTTGCCTATTATCACCATGGATGGTATTCTTAATTGCGGTGGACTGGATTATGCGTCAGAGTGTACTTTGTAGTGAAAAGACAGGAATTACTTGACCCGATAAGAAGATTCTAGAATATGATTTCTGTTTAGTATTACACGAACTCCAAGACTTGCAGGTGGGCTGAAGCCAACAAACTGTCTGCACAAGCTGGCAGATAGTCAATACAAGACTACAGGTGAACAAAGGGAAGACGAGGGTGCTGACGATGACCAACCAACCAACCAACCAAAGCATTGGCAACAACAACCAACACCAATTAACATCAGTGGGGGAGGTCTAACACAAGTTACTTCCTTTACTTATCTAGGAATCATCGTTTCAACTATAGACAGCCAACGTGAGGATGTGGAAGATAAACAAGATCGAAAAAGTAAGACAAACCTTCATCACTCTGAAAGCATTGAGGACATTGGTTGCACTCAACATAAAGAACAAAATTCATGTTTTCAACACTTTTCAACGGTTAGTTCTTCTGCATGATTAAGAGACTCGACTCACGTGCCATGAGAAGCATTTCAAATAGGCTACCGCAGACGATTATCGACTGATGATCAGATGGTCGGCAGGAAAACATAAGCAACAAGGAACTCTAGTAGCTCACGAAATATTGAGAGGTATATCGAGGCATTTGGGAGATGTACAGAGTGTTGAGTGACATCCCATCCCAAGACCCTAGGTGGAACTCCAATGCGAAACGATGATTTAGCCATCGGAGTGTCACATAGATGACGTAATGTGGGGAGAGATAATATCTTGTGAGCAATAATGGTGGCATCTATAAGGAAACTCCAAAAACCGGTTAAAATGAACATTTATTCTCGAAATTCTATTTTACACCCAGGACTTAAGGTAATAATACTAATAATAATAACAAGATTACTGCTCCTTACTCACCTGGAGTATCAAATTCTACCATAACTCGAACTCCTCGTATTCGAGCATATTCAATTATCGACTCGATTTCATCTTTCTCATACACAAACAAGTGTGGATAATATGCTCCCTAAAATGAATCACTTTATATTTTCGAAAAATAGATTTCTACCCCTGAAGACAATTCAGGATACACTGAGGAATCATACGGAAAAGCTTCGTCATCTGTCATATGCCAATGTAGCACATTCATTTTCATCATTGATAAAGCATCCTTTGTTTATTTTTGTGTTCATAAAACATTAGCGGGAAATCAAACACACACAACTTACAATCACATTTTGTATTGTCTCAATTGTCAAATAATGCCTAGCTGTATCAATCATCATTCCTCGATGTGGGAATCGTGGTGAATCTTCAATACGACAAATAAACATCACATTCTGGCGGAATTTTCAAGTGAATTCTTTTCATAAAACACCTGATTACCTGATTATGTCTAGCCTTATACAATGATTGAAGGATAGTCTCAAGAGCGTGCAGTGTTCCCCAGATCTCATGTGATTCAATATACAAGGTGTTCTGAGATATATTCAATGTATCTAAAGAAAATCACAATGTTGTAGAGCACAACTCAAACACCAGTCGACAGTTCAACTTACATGACTCATCCATTGAATAATATGGCCATAATTTACTCTCTCTTTCATCACATCCTTCTGAGATTACAATCGCCATCTTGGATATTGTACAGATTTCGAACTGGGGGAATAACAGAACCGGATGGAGCATATTCAACCGTAACATGAAACGTTTTATGGCTTCTTCAAGAATATGACATCCTGAGTAATTATGCTCAATGTTCAATGTGTTACTAATTTTACATAAATCATTTTTAGTGAAATATTGTTCCACTTTTGGTATTGTAGCCAATAACAATGTCGTTAAGTTGAATAACAGTGAGAAACTCAAAAGAATCTTATAAACCTTCATTATTGGATGAGTTTATTTAAACAAACAAATGTGAAATTATACAGTAATCTGATGAGTTAATAGTTCTTACTATCATTCTAGTCAGTTTAAAAATACTCTGAAGGGTTCAATGTTTCAATGTAACATTGAATAATTGAATGAATCAGTTTTCGAAATGTCTTTGAGGTCTTATGAATTGAATGCAAGTCCAAAGGTTGAGTAAATTGTTGGGCATTAAAGTTACCTTAATAAAATCATATCAGAACGTTACAGTAAAATGTTCAAAGTTCAATAAGCATCTTTTTTGTTATATTGTATCACGTAGTGGGAATAAGTTTGAATAAACGAAAAATAGAATTTTAAAATATCACGAAGACATTAGAAGTTAACATGACAAAATGACTGTTTTTAAGAAGGCACAGAGATTAAAGGGCGATTATATACCAAATCTCTGTTTTGAAGTGGCGCCATCTGCTTTACACAATGAGTAGGTATTAGAGCATTTCAGTAAATTGGGTCAAAATATATACCAGCATGATTTCATGAAAATTCGAGAGGATGTCTTTACCTATGAACCTACTTCATCCTTTAATCTACTACACTGAGAAGATATCAGTATCAGACGGGCGATATTTTGTGATGCAAGTATGGCAAATGTAACGCAGTTCAAGAATATAATGCAACCGAGAATATGTAAGCCAGAAGAGAGTTTTTAATGCAAAGGTTCACTATAGAGATGAACTATGTTGCTACATGTAGCAGGGATATACAATAAAGCCACTCGCGATTGCAGCGGCTACAGCTGGACGATACAAAACACGAGAGTGATTTCGGATAGATGTTGTCTTCTCTGCGTTGTTTCCATAACAGACTATTAACCGAATATCCGCTACTATTTGCGCTGTACGTAGCTGTCAACTAGTGTACAGCTGAATCTCGTTAGTTCACCGTCGGAAGACGGAATTCCGTAAATACAAGTCTTTGAATTGCACATCACTGTCTGACCGACAATGTTTACACACGCACACAGTCACTGAACTTGGCCTCACTGAGTTAACTTGTGTTCTAGCAGTTCCTAAGGCCGGAGAAAATGGAATTTTGTGTGTGGAACTAGCTAACTTGTCATAGAATATCAACCAAATATCAAAAGGAACGTCCAAGCACAGGAACAAAATATACATGTTAAACTTATTCTTCTCTAAAATTGGAGAGAAGAACTGACATTAACTAGCGAGAGCTTTTGGCAAACCAGTTAACCGATGTGTCTAATTCAGATGAAAAGAAAACAGGTTGGAGAATGTTGAGTTTTCACACGATTTCCGGAGGCTGCTTAGGTTGACAAATAAATGAGAAAATATGGCACGGAAGTGTTCAAAATCTGTGAGCGTGGTGGAATGGATGTGGACTATACAAACTGTCAACTGAATAATCAGTAATCTACTCCCGTCTGGTCACTCAGACTACAAACAGGAACACACTGAGTCATTGAGTGGCTATCATGATTTCACAAGCTGCAGCCAGAGCGCCATGCAGTGGGGACCAATTTCATCCTTCAGGATCATGACACCAAGATTCAACCCAAAAACGAAGGAGGGAAGGTCACAATTGTCCAATGCTGCGCACAGTGCTGCAAACAACGCGGAACAAGAGTAGTAGGACGATTTCTATAGACAAATACAAATAGCGGTGAATAACACATTCGAAATGGTGACGTCAGAATTCTTATTTGCGATACTAATGTTAAATTGGGAGCAGATAATAAAGGAAGAGCATTCATTATCGGTTGACAGGCAGGATAAAGAATGACTTTCTACAAACACCTGGAAGTTATTAGAGGAAAGAGGAATGGTGAAACAGAAGTTGAACTAATGCGAATATAGACAACGGAGGAAGAAGCAGAAATGTTCAGTCTACAACGCGTCGAATAAAGAGGCTTAGAAGAGTATTAAATAAGACAAAAGACAGTCCTGCAATACACTGTCAACTGAAGCAGATCAGGTGGCAGGTATCAGAGACTCCAGAACAGTATATCAGTAAACCAGGTCCTTATCGTTTAAGAGGTCAGAGCAGATAAAACCATTGGAAGACAGCTAAGGGAACTGAATAACCAAGTAGGATAATCATAGAAAATAATGGGCTGGTCTTTTTACAGGACTCGTAAACTGGCCACTACCTACAACTTGTCAAAGAGATATCTCCAACATTCACGATAATTCCAGTGAACATCAACCATCCAAAAAGAGAAGAAGTTATGAATGTTACATAGTAACCGAAAGCCAGCAGGAGCAGGTGAAACTCCTCCTGAATTACTGAAAACCGCTCAAGAGATCTGAGTATATCCTCACAACAATATTTCCGAATGATTAGAAGAAGGGAAAAGTACCAACTGATTACAAGAAAGGCCACATTTTTAAACTCCTAAAGAAGGGAAACTTGGGACTTCGCGAAAACTGGCGCAGAATCATTCTCTTGTTCACACCAAGAAAAATAGTAAGTCGAGTCAACCTGGAGAGAATAAAAGGTGATCTAGATGGAAAACTCCATCCGTAACAAGTTGGACTCAGGAAAAGCAAATCAGATGCTGGTCAAGTTGCAACTCATCATCGAACAGAGCATAGACTGGCGGTCAAATCACTATCTAGACCCTATAGAATTTGAAAAGTCTTTCAAAGGTATTCACTGTGAAGGTATTTTTAAACTGCTTGTACATTCAGGGTTTCCCTATGCGCCTACTGGCGTCATTCGAGAGAAATGAAAGTGCTACATGTCAGGTAATCCACAATGGGAAACGCAGTGAAGCCTTTGAAATGAATGTAGAAGTAAGACAATGCTATCCATTGCTGCAGATGGTCTCCTTAATTCACGTGGACTGGACGATGCAGAGGACCGTGCGTGGGTAGCAATGAGACAGGAATACATTGGACTGACAAGAAGGTTCCTGGAGATCTGTACTTTACGGACGAATTATGTCCACCAATCTTTATCAGCGGAATAAAAATGAAGGTGGTCACTTCACACATTAGTGTAGACAGTGTCGTTCCAAATTCAGGAAGCCAATATGAGGAAGCAAAAGACCGCCACTATCTCGAAAGAAGTTAGTACTTTGCTACTCTCAAAGCAGTGTGGAAATCTGCTTCACTCAGAATTAGTAACACGATCCGCACTTTCAACGGTGACTGTAAACTATAGCAGCCCAAACCGAAACTACCTAGCAAACAGATAAATGACCCTGATAACAATCAGAAGCCTCTATAAAAATGGCGCATAATTTCAATGGGATGTTACAAAATAGTTACAAAGGATAATATTCTTGTATACGTTCCAAAATAATCTCCTAATTTCTCATAGGAGTCTTCGTAGTTATATTAAGCCAAGCCCTGTACATAAACTCATCGAGATAACTGCATATCATCGCATTTCTTGATCCAATCACAGATCTGATCTGTTTTTTTGAGGTGATTCCAAAATTTTTCGATGGGATTAGTGTGAGTTCCAACGAAAGGATTGATGAAATCATTTGTATAGTTAACGACGTCATGAATATAGCCGAGATTTGATAATTGACTATAACTACTGTATTCATCTGTATGAATAGTTGTTCCAGACAACACTGAGCGTTGGATAATAGGCAATAAGACATTTGCACTGCGATTAGGGATCGCCTCAGTGTAGGGTGGTGTCATATCTCCCAAACACCCACTGCTAATTCCCACTGAATCTCCTGCGATTATATTTTCTTTTTATCATCACTGTCTCATCCACGAGAACAATGACGCCAACTCCGCCAAGAACTTGAGTCAGCCTGTTTATTTTCCATGATGTTCAGTACTGGTAACATTACACTGCAGACACTTCTGAATTTTCTGATTCATACGCCAACACTAATATCAAATGAGCGCCTCTATATGGTCCAGAAAATTGGTGCCACCTCCTGTCACCAAAAACATATCCAACAGGCATCTACAGACTTAATCAACAGTTGCCGACTTCGCTCCTTTACGAAGATCAAGTAATTGCTCAAAAACGATTAGTAATAGCGAGCACTGGCAATGAAATAAAAAAAACCAAATATGCACATAAAAGTTGAAGTGGATTTGACATAAACTGAGGAGATTGTTGAGTCCTATCACGCGCCAGACACAACAGTGAAAACCGAGTGGGAGACAACCCCTTTGGCATTGGAGGGTGATACAGGGAGATCACATTTATGATCATTGCCGCAATGGTTATATTATGGTGTTTCAATTATTATAGGAATGAAAGGTCATTAGGGTCTGTCTAATTAAATTATGCCATTCATATAGAAAATTCAAACATTATGAAAACTGCACATATTGTCGGTGTGTGTGTGTTACACATTAGTAGTAAGTACCTGATGTGTAACATTTTGGGTAAACTGCTCATAGACTTTGTCTATTCATAACGTGAATGTGTAAACAATATTGATTTCATTAACAAACAGGTTGATATGAATATTCAGTTGTAAAGATTAGAAGATGCATAAATACACACCGTTGACACTTTGAACTTTATCAGTGAGAGAAAGAATAAACAATACACGACAACCGTTACACGGGACTGTAGTATAAAGCGTTCAACTGTTTATTAAAATTATACAGTCAGACAGACGGAGAGGGAGATTGGAAAGAACACGTCCACTGCTTGACTCAGAGAATCCTAACCCATCTGAGTCACGAAAATTACACAAATGATCCTGAATTACAAAATACTACTACTAAAAATATTCTTTTGTTCCAGTACGAATTCAAAGGCTGTAATTCCCAAAGTGAAACAATATGTTACGCAATATCATACATGTAGAATAAGCAAATCCCTGAACATTAAGCATGACTACACTTCATCTTATATTCTGGAGGATGCATTGAAACGTTTTGTATTACGATTAGAAAGAACACAAGAAGAGAGTTTCTCGTTATTGCCAGATTCTTGCAAAGTGACCACTATTCAAATTGATATATCTGGAGGATGTAATGAAGAAAGCGTAAAATTATGGCCATCTG